TTAGAATCGTGCATATTTAATGACAATTCAATATTTTATATCAATGACAAAGGATCATGTTCTGGAAGTTGCGCACACACTTGTACCTTCGATGGGCGGAAGTATGCAAGCTTGGCCGGTACTGGCGGAGCGGTGGGATGCATAGTCGACGATAACATTCTATGTGACTCCAACGACCCCTATCGTCACCAGGCCAACATGCTCGTGCACGAGTTTGCCCACACTGTTAAACTTTATGGTATACCATCTTCTATCAAATCACAGGTAAGAAAATGCTCAGGCGTACCGACATGTCATCAAATAGTTTACTTCATAAAACATTTGTTTTGTAAAAAAAAAAAAATATAAAAAAAAGGAATTCTGAAATTCTAATGTTTACCTATGAAGTGATTTCAGACAGACTTCTTGTCTTTAATTTTTATCCATGATTTATATATTATCACACTGTGTGTTCATGGTTTTTCGTGAGAATAATGTTCTCATCGCGAAAACGTGAACATTTACACTAATAAATGGTGTTGTTGTTCTCACAATATTTTTAGTAGCATCATATTGATTTGTTTGTAACGGACTGTTTTCTTACGCTCATCACTTTTTTGTGGATACTATTTCCGGTTCAGGACACCACCTGGCGCGATCAGACGGTTTTATTTTGAGAAAATATGTGCCAAAATGGGAAAATCCGTTCTAAAGTTCTTTTCAAGTCGCTCTCAACTACTTCTGGAGTTTACTCATACTAACAACCCATGATAATGAATGTATCCTGCTACAGGTAGGTGGTATAAGGTAGTATATAGATGATAAAGTTAAATATATGCTCCTGCTTTAGATCACGGCCGCCTACAACCACGCAAGATCTAACCGAATTTGGGACCTAAGTGTATACGCAATGTCGACGGAGGAAGAATATTGGGCGGAGTCCTCTCAGGTCTACTTTAACGTGGAGAAGCTCACCTACACAACCGGAGGAATGAACACGTAAGTATTTAATGTCGCCGAACAAAACACGTGCCTACGTGACGTCAGAAAATACTATAAAACGCTAAATGCGAAGTAGGAGTTGTATATTGCTTAAGATAAGGGATAGAAGGAAGTTGAATAATATTAAAGCTGCAGAGACACTTTTGTGAAACACTCGTTTAAAACCATTTAAAGAAAGAATTATTTTATAAAAATCACATGTTGCCATGCTTTTGACAGAATTGTGAGAGTTGAAAAGTCGAATGTTTGAAAAACAAGAAACTGCAGAGGTCGGAATTCTTATATTTCAAAACCTACATTTTACGAATGTTTCTATACAGGAATGATACAAGCAGAGAATCAAAGTGGGTGTCCAATTTATGTGCTTCAAAGCATATAAAAACTGATAGGGAAAGTTACTCCAAGACAAAAAAAGCATCTCCCATTTTGAAGGGGGGATATTCCAAGTAACAAAACAAAAAAAAACAAAAAAAAAAACTAAAAAACTTTGTCGCGATTATATTAAATGTAGTTTTACCCTTTATCCTTATTGCTCATTTTCATTATTACACCAATGAGTTAATACAAATACAAAAATATGATGTCAAGTTGTACTGCTTATTCGTTTGCTATTTGGATTTTTGCATTTTAGTTTAAAGTTTGTTGTATTCCTTTGTGAACGTTTAGTTGCAGTTTTGTTTGAACCTAAATGACCCAAAACCCAAGAGTACAATCAATAAAACAAAACCCACAAGTACAACAATAAAAACAAAACCCACAAGTGCAACAATAAAACAAAACCCGCAAGTACAAACAATGAAAAAAGATGTTCTAGGAAACAAATGAATTTTTATTTTTTTTCAATTTTCAGTTGTGGACACAGTGGCTTTTGTACCAATGAGCAGGACTCTCGTTATTACTTGTACACAAAGGACGTACAACTGTATAACGCGCTAACTACCGTGTACACAAACAATCACCCTGAGCGACACAGCAATCTCGCCACCTGCATGTAAATCAGCACCTAGTGCTCGTATTCGTGAAGCATTGAACTGTGTAAAAAACTTTTGTTTGCAGCCGGCGACAACCGTGTGACAAAATAAAATAAATGTAAATTGTATACAGTAAAATTTTTATTCGGCATCACGACTCTTTAAATCACCGGAACAAGAATCCATAATCACCAAAAAGTCTTGCCACTTCTGTAAAATAAACGTGTTTGGCTTTCCTATAATGCTTTCTTTCCACTCAATATTAAACAAATTTTTAAGTATTGATCGTACTACCTTTATATCTGTGTATTTGTTAGCTAATATTTTTAAAGAAGAACCTCTTTCAATTGTATATTTTAATTTCGATTTTATACCACCAAACAATAGGAAATTGAACAAAGAAATTTAGGTTTTATTTGGTTAAGTGTCTGATTAACAGCTAAGGTCATTATAAATGTAGGTACTCACATAAATAAACCTATTTTTCCCTTGGAAAAATGTCTCCCTTGGCACCCCTTCTTCATTTGACCTTATATATACTTGTTCCGTCGAGGTTAAACACCGATACAAAAAGCATACACTATTGTGTTTTTATAGGAGAGAGATTATAAGAAACGTTTGTGTATTAATGGCTTTCAGATAAAACAATAAGTCATCGCCAGTGGCACTCTGGCCATCCATTTAAACCACGTTTCAGCTTAATATGCTCTGTAGATTTTGCTTGTTTTTTGTTTTGTATGTTTGCTCATCCTCGACACCCCAGGGGTTACGCTCACTTTCGCCTCTGCACCCCTGTAGTATGTCATAGCAAAATTGAGGGCTCAGTGTGCGTCACCTTGTTGATGAAACAAGAAGACTAATTCGATCCTTTGATGTACATCAAAAGAATCGCGGTCACGAAACGGTAAAAACTGACAGGCTTTGAAGTCGGGTGTCGCTCCTATGTAATCTGCAAATGACGGGTATCGGCCTCGCGATTGGTAAGTGGTTTTTGTTTTTACCTGAGACCAATCAATCAGCTATCTTCATGCATTCGATTTTGCTATGACATGTCCCAGGGGTGCCAAAACAATAACATTCTGTTACTACGAACGGCGATGTTTAATAGACAGGATCGTACGGGTCCCTATGGAGACACCAGCGGAAGACAGAAGAAAGTGAGGAAAGATAGGAACCATGTCCCCTTCGTAGAAGACACGGAAATAAACCCCGAATCTGATACAGCAGTCTATTCTTGTTTTTTTGATATCCCTTAACAACCGAGCAAGAAGAAATCGTCCCCTATTCTGAAAAGGGGCCCGACATTAGTCGCCTGTAACGGTCATGCAGTGGTATGCAACAGGCCTTTTCTTTCCACAAACCTGCAGGGGTTAAGTGAGTGTCTACTAAGTATATTGGATTGTGAAACTGCTTCACAATAACTGAAATTGATTTTGAATGGAGTCCACAATAAATTTCAAATTAGATCTTGTCTATTAAGCAGTGTTACAAATACGTTACTGCCTACACTAACAAACACACAAACAAAAAAGCCACCAAACGAAAGAAAATAATGACTTAAGTTGTACAAATGATTGTAGATCGACAGGAAAATGTAAAAGAGTGTTTTGTTTGTCGGGGTATAAAGTAATCGTAAGCGAAAATGTTCATATGAAGATAGTTGCCTAGGGACGCCATCGACAGGATCATAGCCAAAAATATCCCCACCCATGAAGTTAGATTCCTAAATGTTTTGCCCGTCAACTTACCGAGGGCAGACGGTTAAGGATTTTGTTTCAGGGGTTGAGATTTTTTTGTCTTTCTCCCAAAGTTGGAAATGATTATCCCCCACCACCTCACCTCAAATACAAGAACGGTAAAATGAAACACAAGCGTTGATTTCAAGGTCTTCCAGCAAACCCAATGAGTTTTCTGCTGTATTCAGCAGTTGTTGGTTTGACGTCATTGCAATGTTGACGTGACGTCATGCGATTGCTATGACAAAAACAAATCCCTCGTTTTTACCCCAGGGAAAGACAGAAATACCGTTAAAGTGGGGGTTTTGCGGTGTTGATATATTCTTAATTTTCACGTTTAATTAAATAAGCGCGAAAATTGCCACACGCAAATATTTATTTAAGTTTTATTTAGATTACCTATATACAATATATTTATTTCGGAAACATTATCAATGCGATATATAAGTTCGACACTGCCAACAGTTTGAAGACGAATAAGTTTGGGAAGAGGGTATATAAAATAGAAGAGATATTGCAGATTCAACGTTTTGCAGTTGGATACGGCAGGTTTATTATTTCCCCAAACCTGCGATCTACTTCATAACAAGTTATAAAAACATAATTGATGTAGGCTGATTTGCATATTATCACATTCGGTGCTGTGCTACAAACTTGTATATCGAGCATGCATAAAGCTCAGAATGAATGTATGGAAGTCAATACAGACAATTAAGAATAAATATGATAAATTTCAGGTAAACAGGCTGTGTACTTAACTAAGTGTTAAACTAATAGGAAACTACAGTCCGATCCCATTTTTAGTCACATATGGGCAGCTGTTAAGAACATGTACAATTATTTTATACGTGATACTCGGGTCCGCCGTTACGTCCCGACATTCTGACATATTTAGGAAAAAGCGTAGTTGACGTTTATTTTCATCATAATTATATCAGAAATAAGAAACATGTCAGCATTTAACTTAGTGAGGCAGAAAACGAGGTAAAATCGTTTGAAAATATTTAATGAATGTTTACAGCCAGAGTAAATTGCTTTTGAAACATTTTCTAATTCCGAAAGGCTAGCGAAAGTCATCGGAGTCATCTCTGAGAGGATAATTATAAATTGCTGAACTTTTGTTTTTTTATTTCTTCATATTAATGAAATTAATGAAATAAAATATCTATATCTTTTCTTCTCTCACTCCCCTTCCTTTTTTCTCAGCGGGGTCTACTTAGCCACCCGACTTCATATGACCCTGGCTGTTGCCATGACGTCTAACTTTATACAGACAGACAAACATCTCTATATAGATTCTATATACGGAGTCCCAATGCAAGTTGTATCTCTCAATTATGTATGTTTCGTATTGTGTTTTACATAAACAGAGCTATTTACATACCCGCTGCGGATAGCCTGTGCGGGATTTTATAAGGGAACCAGTACATTTGTTTTGAACGGCAGAACAACTGCGAAAGACATTCGCGCAACTCGTCTAAGTGAATATTTCATTAAAAAGAACAACCATCATGGCCACGGGACTTGCAAGTAAGTATCAATAAGATGTGAGCTTAACCTTTGCATCATTCGAAATTAAATAGTATTTGAAATACGACGAAGTGAAGCAGTGATCACGAATGCCAACTGGAATGTGAAAATTATTCCGTTAAAGCGCAAATAAATATGTCAATGGGAAGCTGGTCATCTCTTATATTACGCTTTTGAACAAAACAATAGAACACTACGTTTATAAAACAAAATGTAGCATTTGATTCAAATTAGTGGATTAATCGTGTATTATTGTTTAGTTAATTGACAAACCATCTTGATGGGAGGGTCAGCGGTATATAGTGCAAAAACTCTTCTGTCATCATTATGATGACATCAACACAGGACATGCATAGCTGATATGAATGCCATCTGAACTTGGGAGTGTTATAAAGTAGATTTGCCATAGAGTGGCAGTTGTATATTGTTGTGTCCAATGGTGTGTGAAACGTCTTATATCATTGTTTGCTTGATTGGGGTGAAATTCACCCATTAATGGGAAATGTTGAATGTTGTTAAATGTTGCTGCAGTTTAACAAAAGATAGTTAACGGATACAACATTCAAGACTGTAACTTATTGAAGGCATATTGGTTTCACCTTATCCGTGATTGTATTTTCAGATAACACAATCGTCCAGGGCACTTTCACTATGTTCCCGGGATACGCCAACAAGTTTCCATCTACTGGCGCATTCGATAAAATAACAAACAGTTTTCTCAAGTGCTTGGGTTTCTGTTTGTTGCATGTTAGCTGCAATGTAGTTTTCTATGATGAGGGGACACACAATTGCTCCGGGACAAGCGACATTGAGATGATGACATTCCTTGGATCTCTCACTGTTAAAAACGGACTGAAGGGTTACCGTCCGTTTTCAGGTAATTTACTCATTAACTATCAGGTTCAATCCCATGCCTAAATGTGACATTTATGAGTGTGTGGTGAAGACGGTATGTCGGTGTATTGGCCTCCTTCTGATAGCGCTAATCCTGTCGTTCAGGGCTTGAAAAATAAACCATGAACATGCAGTTACTTACTGCATCATGTAAAAGTAAATTACTGCAGAAGTCCCCTGCAGAACTAAAGATATTTCGTGTGAAACCACATTTTATTCCCCGGAACCATCGCAACAATTGGGAACTTGATGCGTTTTAAACGACATTTCCTTACGCCTGTCTTAGCAATACATCTCTTTTGGCCTTAATGTCGAACGTTCGCCTTAGTTAGAAAGGAATGGTTCTGCACCACAACATACCAAAATCTTTTAAAATAGTCGTTGTTATTTCCCACTAGACGTTGAGCATTTAAAGGAAACACAAGAACTAGTTAACCCGTTTTTAAGTGTAATGTGACCAGATCAATTTGCAACAGAATGAATATCCTCCTGTTGTTAATTCAGAATTTTGCAACTCAATCTGCTTTTTCATTTGCAGTTATTCTGACATGACAGGACACGCCAAGAATACATTAAAGTCCTGTTAATACGAAGGACAATGTTCTGTATGAGAATATTATTGGAGAAGACAAATACTCCAACAGTCTGCCTCCATACACATACGCGCATGAATTACACACATGGCGGCGCGTTTTGTGAAGGGACTATTTTCCCCGTACACATTCGGGTAACGACAACATGTACATTGTAGATTTATTATCCCTCTTCTGAGTTTTCCCTTTAGGAAAGCAATAAGATAAATTCTCCTAGTACCCTAAAATCACTTGAATCTCTTCATCTGAGGGTTAATCACTCCGAAAAATATGACTACTTCATGCAAGACAGAAGACTTCTCTCTCAGGAGATTGTGTAGGCGGTGTTAATTATATTTCAACCAATAAAAAACATTTGGTAGACGGGGCGTTTTCCGTTACGCGTAGTGACGTAACATATTTAGAACCAAATACAAACAGTGGAAATGGCCGCCGATGTTTTTCACAGCGATGTGATACTTTTCCCCGTTCGAATTCAAGGGATCATACAATTCCCATATCCCTCATACCCATGAATATTACTGTATACTGCTGTATCCCATTGTGTGTCGTAATAAGCGATCTTTCCATGGGACCCCCTGTGCTATATATCTTCTTTTTTCACTTTCTCTCTTTCTTTTTGATGGTATCTCCCTAAGCGTTATAGATCTGCACTTCGTCCGTCCATTAGAAGAGTTGTCCGGAGCATATCTTCTAATTTGGTATGCAAATACATCTTGGAATGGCAAATTGCAGAGTATGAGTAAATAGGTCGGTGTGAGTTATGATTGATCTTTGACCTCAACCATTAAAAACGTTTGCCAGGAGCATATATACTATTGAACCAGGTCAACCATATTTAGTATGAAAGATTATCATATGAAGGCGACGAAATGAAGGTCACTGTAATATATGTTTTACCTTTGACCTCAGTCATTGACAAAGTTTGTCCAAAGCTTATGTTATATAGTAGTTTTACGTGAGCAAACACATTTGGTGTGTAAGTATATCCGGGGATGATAGATTATCCTTTACTTAAGGCAAGTGCATTTAAACTTTGACCTCAGACCCCAATCACTGGAAAAATCCTCTATTAGTATCAGCACCGGGATTTGTGTTACATAAGGTTGATAGTGGGAAGGTCTACAGCTCGGAAAACAAAGACATCCTTGTAGGGATGTGCCTTGTTATATGTCCTTTAAGAAGACAAAGAAGAAAACCCCTATAAGTCGCCAACATGCGCCTCTAGCTCACACGTATATAGTTCACATAACTCTTTACCTTGCTGTCATAAAACCCCAAGCAAACAAACGTATCGAATGGTTAAATAGTTAAACAATTTTAATTCATTTGAGATTTAATATTTTTTCTGATTTGCCAATCAAAATACTTTGCGAGTGTTTAGCCTCGATATACCGTCCGCAAATGTATCATTTGCATATGAATTGCGATAGTTAATGACGCCAATGACACCGACACGTCACGGCATCGATTATTAATAACATCACGAATAATAGCATGAGCCCGAAAGGTCAATGTAATTCCGCCTAACTTTTCATATTTCTGACATCACCAATGCAGTTGCTTGGTTGTTCGTTAACGTCAAAGATTCATCCATTGTGCTCTGTGAAGCAAGACAACTCTATGAATTAATAACACTAGTACGACGTTGTGGAAACGTGCTCACAATATTGTATTCCTACATCAGATCTTAATAGTTGCAACAAGGGAGATAATTATTTACAAAATTAAATATAGGTCGCGCGACACTAATATGTTCTATAATGTGTTTGGGATGAAAAGACGAAACAACGGCAAAGCACAAACTATCTATCCATCGTTGTTTGTTGTAGCAAGTGTGTTGTGAATGAGTAAAACGTAACGATTACTGATTTTCAGCATGTGACAGCGCCGGGTACGCACTGAATAGGAAAACAGGTCAATGTCTGAAGATAGTGACAGAGAACAAAAACTGGGAGGATGCAAGACAACATTGTATGAACGACGGAGGTGTGCTGGTTAAAGTGGATACCACAGAAAGGATAGCAGGGGCGACCCACGTCTCACGCATTTGTAAGACGTTTACTTGTTTTACATAAAGATATTCCTTAAAGATATATATGAAACTAAGCAGGACGCTTAATCCAAAACCCGACATCATATGAAAATATGGCGTTAACTTCGTGCATAATAATAGGTCATGACATGTAAAAATATAAACACACTTGAACCCTAACGCAAATAGGCGTTTCAATTTGGTTTGGTTTCAGTTGGTTAAGCGTTCTTTTAACATCTAAGGTCATTGAAAGACGTGTCTCCGTGTGAAATGTATGCATGTGTGCTGGGACTGGTTTGTTGGTGTATCCCCTTCCTTGCGATAGCGCTCACCTATTTCCGACTTAAGCGTGCTACCTCAATGCAACAGGAACTGTATCGCACCCGATTACATTTAGTATTTAGTATAAGACGGGACTGAACCAATAACTTTCCAAAAAATGGGGTATTGCCCAAAAAGTGCATACACACAATCGGTCAGGACGCAAATAGATAATATCTTAATTTCAAATGTTTCAATGATCGAAGCATTTTCCTTTTTGTCGCTTTTGTGTCCACAAGTAACTCGCTCAAAGTAAATTCCGCAATTCCGCAGGGGAGTTCCCTCATTGGTTACCTATTGCAACATGGAATAACACTGACCTGCAGGGATTGTAAATTATCGTTGTTCAGCATGTTTAATAGATTATTTAATAGAAAGTTATTTTTGGCATTTATAAAAAAATACACTTACCCCTGCAGGTTCGGGGGAAAACTAGGCCTGCTGTATCCAAATGCATGATCGTGAGACGCGACTCATGTGTCCTCCCTGCAAAAGCGAGGGTTGGATGGTTTATTCTTTGTCTTCTGTTTAGAGGACACTAAAGTAAGCAATAATATTCCACTGCTATATCCCACTTTATTACATACTTACTAATAAATACAGGTCTTTTGTATATGTGATACGACACAATTGCTCTAACCCATATCAGCCATCGCCGTATCATACTCAAAATCCGTATCAGCCCTCTCCGTATCACACCTCTTTCAGATAGTTTTTAGTTTTTCCAATATTTCAGAAGAGAAATATATCATCAGATCTATCCGTATTTTATCATAAAGTATGTAATAAACAGAACAAAACATGCATTTTTCCATATCACACCCAGTATCAACCCTCGACAAATATCAGCCCGAGGGCCGAATATTGGACTCTCGGGTTGAAAGTGGGTGCGATATGGAAAAATGCATGTATTGCTATCTATGTATGTGTATAGTAAAAATGGACTAATATGGTGTTCCCTCTAGAATCTTGACTTTTCTCTAATAGGACAATGAAGAGAATGGATCTAACCCTCTTCCCCCCATCAGAACACTTGGGATAATTTTCGTTTCCTATCTTTCTTTGTTCCTATTTTATATATTTTATCTTGCTGACGATGTCTTCCTAGGCACTCGTCCTTATATTACCCTGGCTGTCGCGAGGACGTTAAAAACCAAGCAAGCAAACAAACAAACTTGTAACAGTAAAGCTTCCTATTTTGTAAACGATAATCTTTGTATTTCATACATGTCTCACATTTTGATCCATTTGAAACTAGATCTTAGCGCTTTCGGATCGTTCCACGTTGGAGCCTCTGACATAGCATCAGAAGGCGAATGGAAATGGCTGGATGGCACATACGTTACCGGTATCCCAGGAACCTTTGACAATAACGACCCGACGTTCACTCCCGCACCACCGGCCAACTGTGCTCGTCTCTCTACGTCGCTTCAAGAAGTGTACGACGACAGGTGCGGCGGATTGAAATACTTCATCTGCGAACGAAGAGAGCTTGAAACACTGTAAATAGTCATCCACTCATTTCAGATGCGTTCTCACCGTTTTTAAACATTGTTATCAGGTTATTCCTGTTGTGTTATTGGAATTGGTAAATAAATCAAAGAGATGATGACAGCTACGGTATGTCGTTAAGATGGATTCTCGTCGTTGTGTGTTGAAGGCTATGCCGCACGATTTGTTTATAATCACAACGCTGTAAAATCTGCATACGACTTGCATGTATCGATACGGAAACTGTCCCTTTAAACGTTTAGTAGATTTTTTTTTTTAACATCCTGGACGTCAACAGTAAACAAACGGGTAGTACATACATTTTGCTGTGTGTTAACTATATAAACGGATAAAACTATGAATGATTTACGAACGCTATTTCAAATGGACTGAATCATAACCAAAAGTACAAAAATTCATTATTCAAGGAAGTATCTGATGGACGTCGATAGGGTACATTGTTATGTAATGGAAAATTAAGGCTTTCGTTGATACTTGCTAAATAAACAAAATAATTGTCGTTTTTTTCGAAAATAAAATATTGTCACTAACTTAATGGAACCAATGTTTAACAGGAGTTGAACACTTAATTCATATCCAGTGGTATGTATGTTTCCTAAGTGTTTTTTTTTTAATCTGTTCTGTTGTAATATATTTTCTTGTTTAGAGTTTCATTACATAAATGCAGGAAACGTATTGTTCTCCTTTTAATAGACAAGAATTCCATATAAAACATAACATGAATTACACCAATCAAATATCATTAAGATGGGGTCACCTGCCCGACCACGTGGGTTTTATCCGGTACTCCGGTTTCCTCCCACAATAAGATCTACCGCGCGCTAACATCTGGGCAATCAAGAGTGATTAATATAAATGGAAATATTTTGCTTCATAATTGTTGTAAAATGAATGTTACTTTTTTTTTTAGAAACATCATCATTGTTTAGTATGTTATGCTGTGAAACAATATACCAATTATTAAAATACCGTGTTATCATTTCAAAAATTGTATTTAAGTTTTCTTTCCTGACTACCTCGCAGTTTCGTTTTGGTGTATCTCACTAGGGACGCGTCTTCAATTGGCCCTGGCTATTACCAGGACATTAAACCTTATGTAAACAAATAAACAGTTTTTGACGGGACGTTCATGTGTTATGGTATGGGAGCGTCACCAGTAAAACCGGATCTCAAGTTCAAAACTACACTCAAATAGGACGACGATTACGGCACCATAACTTACTGGAACATGATCAAATGCAGATGAACGAATTCTATCTATCTAAATATTTATCTTTTTAAAACGACAAAGGCAAAGTTCGAAGTGAGCAAAATCTGTGTATAATCAATAAGTTTACTGCCATCTGATTGGTCAGTCAATGAGTATCAAACAAATACTTGCCCCAATCAAACCAGATTATAAGAAATTGTCAATAGATATGAAGTAAAAACAAAAACTGAGTTTAAAATTAAGCCAAATCTGAGCAAAATAAATGTGCGTTCTCCACTCTAACTGATCTGTGGTTTCCGCACAAGGACTTTATGTAATATGATAAAATGTTGCTGAAACTTTGATCGATGTTGAGAAAGATCTATCAAGTACGTCTTGAGAAATAGCGATAACAAACTAGAACCGTCAAACCCAAATAAGGCGGACTGGCGGCCATTGATTTTTCTGATCTGTCTCAAAATAAAACATGCATATTTTGGAACCAAGAGGTGCCTACATTTAAAATATCAGAAAGATCTGTCAAGTTCTCCTATAGAAATAGCGATAACAAACATGAACTGTCAAAACAAACGATGGCTGCTTTGTGGCAATCTTGTTTTTTTATTTGAACAGAGCTGAAATGAAACGTGCACAAATATGGACAAAGAGAAACAAACTGTCGAAATCAAAGATTGTTTCTTTATCAATATCAATAAAAAAAACCATGCACATCTTTTGACTACGGGAACCTTCATATAAAATTTAAGAAAGATCCGTTAATTACTTTTAAGAAATAGTGACATAAACAAGACTGTTTAAGGACAAATGGACCACAGACGGATGACAATTTGATCATCCAATGGCGTCTTTGGATGTAAATATAATGCTCAATCTAATTAACCAAACCAAAGTTATACTTTTTCTTAGACGAATTCGTTGTCTTTCCTTATTTCCATGATGCGACAGCACAGGCTACAACTTAAATAGTCAGACAGGACATTGTCTAAAGATTGTAATGGACGAAAAATCGTAAGATGGTGCTAGAAAGTACTGTGAGAACGATTGAGGAGTGCTGGTCAAGCTGGACACCACGGAGAGGGTTAGCGGGGCAATTCATATCACGCGCATATGTAAGACTTCTTTAAAGTATAGTGACAGTGTTTTAGAGTGGAAAATAGAATTGTAATACTAGCGATACCTTAGTTATAGAAATCAGCTGATCGACGCTGCTAATACGGCTGCCTACGTGAACTAAGCACTATAAAACGTATGGTCTGGTGAGAAATTCGCTACATTTTGTTTTTGTCATAATATCACTGCATGTAGCTAGCAGTGCGTGAAAGTTAACGGCTTTTGACACCGATCATTTGAGACCATTCATAGTGTGTTTAGGATGTTTGTTAATGGGTTTAGCGTCCTTTTAACATATAAGGTCTCTTTTACAACAATGTCATTTAACTTTTATTTCGGGCGAACGTGCCATTACACAGTCTGCTTCATAACATAATTCATGAACACGAACGCCATTTTATTAGCATGTTAATGACTTTTTGGCTATGTTCAAAAAATATCTTTGCATCATGAATATGCATAAGCACATATAAATAGAATTAAAAAGAGAAACATTTAATAATTCACGTTAACAAGAATTTAAATGCATGTTACAGAGCCTTTGTGTACCAAACCAAGTGTGAAATTATTTCCGAACACTAGTAGATGTTGAGATAAGATAAGGATTACAGGATTTTAATTGTTGCCAGATAACGAAGTTAAGGTCTTCATCTTCTTAAGTCACGAACTCGTCGTGAAGTCTAGACATTTTGGCATGTTTATTAATAAGTATCAGTGGCGTTGTTTCGTGCTCCGTACATTATTACTTCGCAAAGAAAGGTATAAAGTAAACACTAAACCTTTCCGGAAAACTAAGTTTCATCTACGGATCATCCCTGCAGGTCAGGGTTTGGGTTTTATTTTGTTTAACAGCTAAGGTCATTTAAGGACGTATCTCCATGCGTGTTGTGTAAGCATGCATTTGTGTATGCGTGCCGACGACAGGGTAGCCTGGATTGGTGCCCTTTTTCTTCCTGTGATAGGTGATAGTGCGAATCTGTTGCCGACTTTATAGTGCTATCTCACTGAAATACACATGCCGAAAGAATCCAGCAACGCATTCCGCCCTGTCAAATTATACTAACAACGGGTGAACCAGTTGTTGACATTACTACAAATGCTGAACGTTAAGCAAGAAATAACAACAACCATTTTTTTACTTTTGGTATGACCCGGCCTGGAGACAGAACCTTCCTTGCCAGGACGAACGTTCAACATAAAGGATTTTGGCCACGATTTTTCATAATTTCATATTTTACGGACATTTGATGCAATAATACGTGTAGTGACGGATACCCAGTTTCTCTCGGTACTCAGATGATAGACAGGCCATGTGACGCCCCATCGATATCAGCCTAGTGAATATGCATATTTTGAACTCAGTACGAGGTCACGTGATGTGTGACGTCACAGTGGCACGACTTATCCATTCTGACACGCCCCCTTTACATACACAAGAAACTTTATTTTTGTCATATTTATATAGTATCTGCATAACAGAGTAAGTAATGACATCAACCAATATATGTTATACGGTCGAACCATTTATTTCCATTCCCCTTAATGCTGAATATTAAGCAGGGAATATCAACTACCATTTTTAAGGACTTTGGTATGTCCCGGCCTGGGGACAGAACCCATTGCCTTCCTCACATGGACGAACGCTCAACATTCAAGCCAAAAGTAAGGCGTTGCAAAGCAATGCGATATGAAATAAAAGGTAGGTAGAAGTAGAAAGAAAGCAAGAAAAAGATCCCAAATATTGCAAAGGGCGCAGCAGATTTATTTTGGTCATTTTTGCCCCATAAAAGAGGGCACGAAAGCAAATTATGCAGAGGGTTCACACAATAGTCGCCTCCTACATGCATCGGATAACAACAGGTGTGGTTTTGAAGAATACATAGAAGCTGTTACCTAATGCATGTTGTAAACGACAACTTATGTGAAAACCTCCAGAAGAATTAGAGATTTGCTTCAGTGCTCTCTTCTTGGGGACACACACATACCGACACAACAGCAATATAGTTGCTGCATATTTTCCAACAATTGGGACCTGTTAATCAGCTTTATGTTTTTCTTCGTTAAAATTCCCTTTCTTGATAGCAACATCCCTGCTCCCTTTCCTTCGCATTCATGATCTCGCAAAGAAGTATGTTATATTTTTTTCTGCGTGTAATATGAAGGTCAATATTTTTGCATAATGCTCATTAGAGTGCCATGCAGTTTTGTTGTCACTTCCCGAGTTCTCGATGTGAGAACGTGACATTACTTGAACTCGACTCAAATTGGTATGGCGGGTGACATCGATGAAGCAGAAGAACCTTACCCTTCCGGAACACCTGGTCCTATTCTCCTATTACATTTTCAGGTGTTTCCATGTTTAGCTTTCTATTGTTCATATTTTGCCCTAGGGTTATCGATTTTGAGTTCAAATCCTCATTATCTTGTTTTTTTTAGACTTTAAATGACCTCAGCACTTAATAGGATGTTAACTCTATCAAACCGATATTTGGTTTGGTTTGGTTTTATAATATGAAGCGTCCTTCTAGCAGTTTATGTTATTTAAGGACGAGTGTTATGTATGCCTGCATATATACAAATGTATGTGTACTAGAGGCGGTATATTGATGTATTTGCTTAATTGCGGTTGCGCTGATCTGAGGACGACTTAATAGTGCTAACTTACTGAATACCATGCTGAAAGGCACCTAAATTTGTAGCATCGCATTCCACTTGTTTGGGCCTATTACAAACCATCCAAAAATAATTAGTTTATGACTGTAAGGTGATGGCACCCCAACAGAAACCTGAAATCGAGGATGAATTTTGTGTCATTTTTTCTTCTGTGAACATTGGTGAAAGAGAAAAGACCTGCTGTATCCCTGCATGCGTGTCGTAAGAGGCGACTAATGTGCCCCCTGCAAAATCTGGAGGTTCCTTGCAATGACATTAACCCTCCCCCTAACAAGAAGACAATGAAGCTAAAACACCTGTAAAATAGAGGCTTATTTATGGCGTCAATGACAACTAAATCACCATCCGGTTTGACGCCAGTCTTGATCTTATGGTTGAAAAAATCTGTAGGTTAAATTATATATAAAAAAAAAGATGATCAAGTCTGTACATTGGTCCTTGATAAAAAAAGTCGGTTATTTGACCCTCTGTGAAATCAAAAAGGCCAGCAATTTAGCATACAACTAATTACGTTGTGATTGACACAAGGATTGCCAATAGTATTCCCTGTGTACGTTTAAAGATTAATATATAATCTATTCCTGGTTTAAATCCCAACGTTTTGTAGCTATGGACCAAGTTCATCCTTGACGTTACTCTAGCTCATGAATAACTTATCTTGTTTAAAATCCCTTAACAGTCTATGCTTCGGTAGGCGGATAAACTTTTCAAAGGTCAACTCCCAGCAGATGTATATTTAAGTATGACGGCTACTCCACTCTGTATCATACAGTATATATGTCTACTATGTTAAAATAATCGAAAGTATTGTCATACAATGGTAAAGGCTGGTGGTCTACCTGTGCTAGCTCTCTTAACTCATTCACCCCCAAATACACAATTGCGTTCTTCCAATTAAAAGGTTGGAATAGTCCATTCTAAAATTTCAGGAGTGAATGAGTTAATGTCATCTGATAAAAAACAGCTGTCATGTTTTCTCATAAGGATTTAAGGTTGCCACCCAAGTGGTATATTTTTCATTACCAGTAAATGTTCAGAGCCCTTTGTGAAATTGCCCAGAATATCAGGTTAAGGGTCCTCGTTCCATTTTACAGTGATTCTTCGTAACAAACAACAGCAACAAACATCCTCCTCACCCACTAATGACTGACTACCATGATAGTTGGACGCCCTGTAAACAGCTATGACTTTCACAGTGTCAACGTAGAATTTCCAGATTATGTGCAAAGGTAGAAGCCAAGCGAGAAATGTGTCACTTAATGCTTCATATGATTATCAAAATACAAAATAAGTAACGCACAATGAATATGTGTTATTCTTATATTTTCAAACAAATATTATACTATAGTCAAATACATCGAACTACAACCACAAACTCAACCATTTCAGTATATGACACCAGTTTGTAACCATTACTAGTCCCCGTCAACATTTAAACCACTCGGTATGTCGCTTTACACCTCACTTTGAAGTTGAGGGGTACTGTAACCCCCGGGCGAAATAGTTATCTGAAGCACTTACAAATGTATATCTGGCATATTTTTTTCTACGAAACTGTACAATGTCAAGATGATCTTGAACTTAAATCGAACAATAATGGATAAGAAAGACATTGAAACAGAAATAAGACGTCATGTTACTGTACCATATCGTAAAGCATTGGTGCAAAACGGTTTACGGTAGAGCTACAAATGTAGGTGATACAATATTCCGGTTAGTACACAGACATGTAATAAAAAATCCGTATAAATAAATAGCCATTGTATATTTCATAATAACATTATATATGTATGAATATAGACAAACTGATAAGATATGCGTACGCGTTATATAATACAGAACATTATGTTTCTTGAGGTATCCATATGTAATGGGACGAAGACGTGAAGCATAGTTGTTAGGGCGCCGGCATAATAATCAATGGATCATCGGTTAGGATTCCGCAGCCGGCATTATGTTGTCCCTCAACTCGAATGCCTATAACTGAAAACAATCTAGTCATGTTCGACATATCGCAGCCTCACAAAACACACGAATACACTGCACGCATACATCTTGCACATAGTGGAGGTCGTCCTTGAATAACCACCCCAAATCATGTTCGAGTATCAAACACGGTATGTGGTTGTAGAACCGATGTCGGAAGGTAAACAGAGGTTTGTATTCAACTTCCCGAGTATAGGAGCATATGACAATGGAGATAACTAGGGTATTGGTATAGAATTGAGAATGCCCTCAAAAACGAATGATCAGCTTCAAAAATAAGGAACATGATATCGAATGTATGCTACTGACAGAGGTTCACGCCGCACGTTTTAACAAAATAAAACAGCACTGACAAACAATTCGTTAGTTGTGTTTCGAAAATGGCGGCCAGCGAAATTTGTTCCGTTTCTGTTTGCTAAAATGTATACAAGAAATATTCAATATAATACACCTCGTTTCATCGCCATCTTGCTAACCGCCAATATATTGCATTGTCCATTTTGCTCTTTATCTTAACCAGTCCTTTACATGTTTCCCTCAATTTAACGCAGAACTCCTCTATAACGCCAAATTTTTTCTGGACAAATGATGGCAGTATAACGAGGTTTTACTGTTTTTATGTAAGAACCAAATCTATCGCCAGAATGGAAGACTAATACCTACCCCGCCTGCACCAAGTACTGCAGGATTGTTCTCTGAGAACATTTTAAACAAACAAGGTAAAGCATTACAAAGCAATCCATAGTTCCTCACTGGTAATAGTGCCTGTGTACACTTACCTCAGGATATAGGTCACAGTGACTTACTTCTTGTACTCCACACTCCGTCAGTCACGACCTAATTGTATACATGTACCAGATTTGATTACTCCATTTGAAACAGTATGAAAGAAATATGCTATGCCCCAGATACAATGGTATGGAAAGGTGAGGGCGTATCATTGTAACAAGTTTAACTGTATTTCATCAGTCTAATATATATATATATCGACTCGCAGTATGTAAAACCTTTCATAAACGATTAAAAGATTTGCAGAAAAGCAGTCGGAAACGCTTTGTGCCTTTCAACAGTTCACACAACTGGAACGTTCCACTATATGGAAGCAATACTGGCATGTTTTATATGGATAATTATGTCTGCATTACAGCCATGTCCTTTTTATAAGTACATAACGGTGTTGCCTTTACCAAGCACCCTATCAATATACTAGTGTGTGTAATAGAACGCACGTTTACTTTGTTCGTGTGTACTACGTCATCCAAATATGTGAACGCGATGTACATTTACTGAATAAACAAGATTGCCACAGGCTTTTGTCTCTGCATTGTTCATACAATTATGTTTGCGATGTCAGCCAACAGACCAAGGCAAAGTACATATCGTCGGAGACTTCCTGTCATCCTTTTTTCAAGACGCTTTACCAACGAGATAAGACCTAGATTCGTCCCTTTGGGGTCGGAGACGTTGCACAAAGTAAAAAGTCCACCAACCACTCGGGGAAATATGTATTAAGAAAAATCAACGAGTTGGAATCATACCCAACAACGTATCTCATCAGTGGGTATCTGGCGGTCACAGCATGTTCATATGAATCGACGACTTTGTATAGTTTGGGCGACTCGAACGTCTTGATCATGTCTCTAAATGCTTCGTTAACTGAAATCAATAACAATGGTTTCGTGTTAGTATGATAGGTAAGCGGTAAACTGGCCAATTAACCATACGCGATGATATAATTAATTGTTCCCTAGGCATCCAGGCAGTGTAACAGTCTATAACACGTTCAAATTGTACTGGCCGTCATAACAAAGGTCTACAAAACGGCGATACAACATAAAACAACTACTGTACAACCAAAGTTGATCAAAATCGTCAATGTCTAAATTTTGACCATGCAGAGGCTGCAGCGGCCACCTTGGATAAGCAGTTGCCAAAATAAAGATGTCTTGCACATTTGTGCATGTTGAGCAATACTCATACTCAGGTTCACTTTAACTCGACTTATAGTTTCTAAGACACCACGTGAACAAGTTCACAGTGGAGGAAAGAGAAATAATACGAGGGTTTTTCCAATAAAAGAATCACCGCACAGCTCCCGTAACATAGGTAAAACAGCAAGCGCCTCGTCAAACTGCAAGCGCATTTAAAGAACAATGTACGTGCAAATTTTCGACATCATCCGACAACAATTTAGCAAGTTGTCTGTTGTTGAATGGAGTGTACTCATGACAATTGTAATGATGCTAAGTGAAGGTTGAGAATAAAGGGCAAAATACGCTTCTATATTTAAGCATGGTGTGTTTTACAGATACCTGCATACAGATACATGCAGAGTTGTGAAGCATAAAAGGCATCTATTTTGCCTTATTGACGCACGGTCAGGCATTTCAGTTGTTGCAGCATCAAAGAAGAATGTTGCTGCTGTGAAAGCAATAACTAATGAGGATGGACGTTATACTGAGAAAGAATGGTTCGCATATCAAAAGGCGATACACATTACATCAACTACCATTTTAAGGATTCTGTTACATGTATGTCCCAGCCTGGGGACAGCCACGATACTCCACGGGTTACGCTCACTTTCGCTCTTTGGACCTCAGTAATACATGTATATGTCATAGCAAAATCGTAGGCTACAGTGTAAGTGTGCGCCATCTTGTTGATAACTCAAGAAGACCAGTTTGATCATTTGATGTACATCAAAAGAATCTCACGTTCGCATAACAGTAACATTGATTGGCTTTGAAGTCGGGTGTCACGCCGCTGTAATTTGCAAAGAGTAGGTATCAGCCTAGCGATTGATCAGGCTTTTTTTCACCCGAGACCCATCAAAAAATCTAGCCGTGTGCCTTCCATTTTGCTATGATATATTCCAGGGGTGCAGAAAGGAAGAGTGAGCGTAATCCGCGGAGTATCGGGGAAGGCCCGGGGACAGAACCCCATTGCCTACCCTTCTTGAGCGAACTCTCAACACTAAGGCCAAAAGTGTGAGTCATTTGAGTTGAAATAAAAACACAACATTGCATAACATCTATACGTACTCTTGTCGGCGTATCCCGTGCCATAGTACTCCTTCGTATCATCATCAAGTTTCTCAAAGTTGCTTGAAACAGTTTTTGTGATAAGGGGCAGATCAGTGAAACCTGTGTTGAAGCATCCTGGCTCTATGATATGGACAGACACCCCAGTCCTGTAAAGTTCTCTCCTGTAAACAATAAACAAAAACACCGAAAGAAAATTATATTTAAGCGTAAGAAAATGTTACGGTGACTCATCGGATCATCAGTGGCTGATACAGTTGGCATCATGACAGGAGTCACATGTGGAGAAGGAAACCGATGTACTTTTGTAATCTTGCTTTTATACCGACATGAAATTGGGAAAAAACGTCGTTCAATCCTTATATTTACATTCTAAATCGTTAGCTATGATTGACCTAAACATAGATATTCCCCAATACTTTCGATATTGATGTGTCTGTGTTGTCTGTGCAAACGATATTTTTAGGAAAGTCTAACATCACCAAAGTGTTTGCTACTAACGGTTGTCTAATGCTATTCGATGCAGGAGGAGAAGCTTCAAAGTGACGCTGATCAAATTGCTTTCATAGCTCTATGAACACAATTTCTTCTGGTAATGCTTATAGAGGAACTTGCTATACAAACGTTGATAAATTTTGCATTTCCCTCTTATTTTGTATGTATGCATAATATAACTCTGAGGAATTATTGAATAAAATACTGTTTTGACTAACATCTGATTATTTGTACGATTTGAAAAATATCGGCGGCATGTTGTTATCGGTAGTGTGGCAGATATAAATAAAAATCCCTTTCCATCCATGTATAGAGACTGTGTTGACATGTTCCGTATTACACAAGGAAACATTAGTTTAAGTGTGTGACAAATCCGGTGCACTGACTTTCCGAATAGACACTGAAAAACAGTTACTGACTTACTCCGCCCTATATAAGTTATATTTACATTTTCTCTGCATTATTCCATTGCGATGCGTTGAGAAGGCAAATGCTGTTGTGATATGTTAACAACATTTGCTATTGTGACGTCATCAATCTCTTCGACTCTTAATTTGCTATTCAATGAACTGTTCGACATAACTAAATATAACCTAACTACTCTGTCAAAATGTGAATATAAATAATGAATATTTAGCAAATATTGTTATGGTCCTATAATACACATTTCTATTGCTGACAAACTTACATTGAAACTGGATTACATAAACAGAACTACTCACATGGTTACATTTGTTTGACACTATCGTCTGTATGAAATTGTTTGGTTGAGTACCTCCGGTTCGTCATATCCGGCAGATAACTTTACATATACTAGACACAAAGGGATCATTGGACGGTAAAAATATCGGCTATTTAATATTTACCTCAGAGTGTCACAATATGCTTCGGCAGCAAATTTAGAAATGCTGTACGGCCCGACGTTCGTAGCGGCTATCTTCCCGGAACCACTGGTCATATTGATGATACGCCCTCTAGATTTTAAGACAAGAGGAAGAAAAACACGTACCATCCGAACCATCCCAAACAGGTTAACCGACAGGGGGCGCTGATAATCCTCTTCTGATAACCACGTGGCTGGTCCAAAATGTCCCATGGTTCCTGCGTTATTTACTAGTGCCCAAAGCCCTATATAATAACACACAAAAAAACCTTGTACAAAGTGTACGAAACTGTTTGATGAACAATCCGTAAGTCGTTTGTCTACATATAGACACATACATATACATCTAATATAATCATAACTATCAGGAATACCAAAACATCCGCTACACTATAAATAGCAAACAAACATTAAATTCCTTGAAACTTATCTTAGGATTAATTTCTGAGGTAAAGCAAACTAGAAGAGTGATCATTCGTTCCCTGCACCCCTGGAAATATGTCATGACACAATCGAAGGCACAAATTTAAAGAAGCTAATTGATTGGTTCTAGGTAAAAACACTGACCAATAGCTAGGCTGATACCTCACCTTTGAAGATTACAGAAGAGCGACACCCAACTTCAAAGCTAGTAAATTGTACCGTTATGTTAACGCGCGATTCTTTTGATGTACATCAAAGGATCAAACTAGAGAACTTGTATCATCCACAAGTTCAGGGCCTTAGATTGCAATCATGACGTATCCAAGGGGTACAGAAAACAAAAATTTGTATCGCTATATAGCCCTAAAAATGGCAAATGCATGCATTGTACATCTTTCAGTATGACGTTACAATTCAATATGAAGCGTTATTGCATTTCATTGAATTTGGTACATTCCATTGATATTCATATTGACCATAAATACCTACTGAAAGCAGTTCAGTGCTTGATTACGGACTTGCACAATTAAATCAGCCAATCAGCAAGTGTTTCGTACGAATGAAATTCCTGTACCTAAAATTTGTTCCGGTTAAATACAGTGCCTCTAAGTATTTTAAATGGATAATTGTTGGCATACTTTTCATTGAATGAGTTCTAAAGATGTTTAACATTTCAAAATCTATAGTTTTAGGTAGATTTTAATATGTGATGGCGGATCTATATTGGATCAAAAGTGTTGGGGTGTTCCCGCCCCGCCTCACCGGTTTGGCTTGTAAACTTCCGGTTGTCAAAAACAGACGCCTGTTGCGCTCTTATATGCTATCAAACCTGCCAAAAATTCCCTTTGAAGCATTTTGCATGTATGTATCTATGAACCTAGACAGTTGTCACACGTGTTAAACTTCGAATTTTAAAGCTATCAGCTCAAGCGCTTAGTAATAAAATGTAGAAAAATGATTTAGTTGTGCGAGTCCTTTAACGTTTCCGAGACATAAGACACGATAGATATAAGAGAGGATTTTTTTTATCTATAAAACAAAATAGCAGTCCAGTTTTCATGATATATTCCTTATAATGTAGAGTTTACAACCTTTACAAGTTATAACATTAAAACACACTGTATTACAACGTCAACAAAATGTTTTTCATGCGTGAATTTTATTAAAGGTAATTTAGAATTTAAAAAAACAACGTCAAAATATAACAATATTTTCACAAAATACCATAATACCATAAATTCAACATACAAGGAGAAACTATACTTCAGCGTCAACAAAGAAAAATATATACCACACCATTCGTAGATTGACAGTGTCAACAAACTGGGAAAAAATATACCGAAAAGTTAACACAACACAAGCGGACAAATCTACCACGAAATCAACAAACAATGAAAAGTATACCACGATGTCAACACACAAGGAAAGTTATACCACGAAGTCAACAAACATGGAAAGTTATACCACAAAGTAAACATACAATGAAAGTTATACCACAAAGTCAACAAACAAGGAAAGTTATACCACGAAGTCAACAAACGAGGAACTTATACCACAAAGCCAACAAACAAGGGGGAAATATTCTTCAGCGTCATCAAATGAATTAGACAATGAGGAAATAAGCAAAAGCAATAAACAACATTGTATTAAGGGTAAAAATACAACGGGGCCAGACGTGGATTCGAACCCAGGATCCTTCGATCCAGAGACCAGATAATGTCGCTCTGACTAAGATGTATCTGGCGAGCAGTAGTGTTGTGTCAAAGTCACGCTTCAAATTTAAGGGGAGGTAGCTGTAAATGTATGTGCAAAAATCTAGTGTAACATTCTTCACGGTTTTTGCTGCAGTGAGACAGAGGGGTCTTCAATAGTTTACCTGTATTCTCGGGCAGCTTCGATTTCACAAACTGATACGCCTTTTCGATACTTTCCATGTCGGTGACGTCTAGAGCTATGGGCTCAATCGTGTTGCTTGTTTTGCGGTACTCTTCTAAGGTGTTTGTCGTAAAGCACCCGGCAAAGACGTGCACTCCTAGAGAATCGAGCCTGCTAGCCAGTAATTTCCCAAATCCTGAGTCGCACCCAGTGATGAAAACATATCTCCCCCGGATGTCTTTTAACTTGAAGCTTCTTTTGATCCATTTTAGTACGGTTATTACCAATATCACTCCGATGATCTCCAAAAACATCACTATTCTGCAATATTAAATTGAACAAAAAGATGTTATATGTGCAACTACCTTAGATACAATCTGTGAGTTTGGAAAGAAAAAATATAATGAAGTGTCATTTCTTATCACGAACAGTACCAGTGAAATACCAGGAAAATCCATTTAATAAAAACTTTTACAGTATTTTCACCAGTGAACTATAAAAAATGTATCCTTTTCATAAAACTTATGATATTACCACCATTGAAGGAACTGTCCATTTAATAATTATTTTGATAGCATATTCACCAGTGAAATATAAATAAAATATCCATTTCATAAAAACTAGTGTTACATTCTTAAATAAAAACCATACAAGAATTTTTTTCAAGTTACCTTGTTTCCATGTCATATTTTTATGCAATATGAAAAATTAAAAACTCAATATTGAAATGACCTAAACATTCATTTAACTGTACCCTAAATTATGCCAGGGGAGGGGAAAATATTACTCGGAACACGGAAGTTAATTGATTAGCGGTGGAGGGGGCGGGGGTGAAGGTGATTGTCAAGTAAGAAAGCCCATTAGACTTATAAATATGAAGGGAAAAAAGTCAACCATCCCCCAAATGAATATCTGGAAATATTCGGGGGGGGGGGGACTATCCCAATTACACTCCCGTTCCCCTCCACCGCAGACTGTTCCACCGTGTGCTACCACACTACTGGTTACCTCTGTAGACAGGTATGTAAGGAAAGTGGTTTATGTCAGATTTATGTCAGATTCAACTTAAAATGACTAGCTGTGCAAGGAGTAGCTACTGATCATGGGCGTATAGTGTCACTGATCCCATTACAGTAATAGTGTATATGCTAACTTGTTTTTTACGCATCGCTGGGCGTGCGGCTGCACTTCTACAAGTTGTAAACTTACATATGTTAAAATGCGTTTAAAACGTTTATATATTACACCTCTATGCTTTTTGCAAGAAAATTGACTACAAAAACGTAAACTGAATATATATTTACTTACTTTTTAGAGCTGTGTATGTCAACTTCCGGTAGTTTAGTAATGCACATATATTGTATACATTGTATATGTGTGTAACATGCGCAGTCTGAAGCCGTAAACACAGAAATACACGTATACAGGCCTGGTGGTGTCTATGGAGAATGTGTAGTCGTGGGTACCCATGTGTAGCATCGAATAGCGCTAGAGAAATGTGCTAGGTTTTTTAGTCATTTAAATTTTGTATAATTTTAACTATTCAGTATATACATAAACAGCTAGCATGTTCTAGTGTTGAATATCTGAACGTGACAACTGATAGGTTTATATTACATACCTCCTTTAAACATAAGAATTCAGAATATATCCTAATTTTATATCCAATTATATAGGGCCTGGAAATATGTGAAGCACCATCATGGGTTGAAACACAGGGACCTGATAGTTTGTTACAGCTATATATCGACCTCAACTGAGGTGTTCAGAGTAATTTTACATTTTTTATGGGTTCATATCAAGTTTCGGTAAAAATGGCAATACTTAAATGATTGGGGTGACGTTTATTCCGAAGCAATCATTCTTCACACAAAAGCGTATGTCAAATTATGGCTGTTACAAATTCTCAGGTCCCTGTGGGTTGGACTACTGTTCGTCGTTAATCATTCGCCGTAAAACACACAAACGTAAATTCGAATACGCTAGAAAACTGCGTGTAGAAGCACAAAGTTTGAGTTAAGATAAACATGTATCATCGGTTCACTGGGTTTTTTATGATAGCTACGGTTCACTGATTGATGAACATACATACACTTGTGAAATGTATATGTGTGAAGAAGGAAAGGGGAGCGGGGAGGGAGGATTTCTATGGAGTGAAAATTCCCATCAGTTTATTCCCCATTAAGTATTTGATAGCATACTTTTAACATCAAATGTAAAAGTACTTCTTACCAGATATAAATAATTAATAAATTAAAAATAACGATCAATGGTATCTTGGGAGCGAGTGAATGTTTGGAGGACAAGTTTTCCACATGCTCCGCTAGAGAAGTATTAAGGGCCAGATTTTCTTTCAATCGTCATTATGGCGGGGACATCAACCAACAATGTATATCAGCAGAAAAAAAACAAGAGAAATTGTGTATACGTTAAAAGTTATGTAAAATAATCACTTCAAAACGTACAGTATCAATATCACGTTTCAGAATTAGCATAAGCAAGTTCACAACGTCATTGTCTATCGTTAGCAGTAATGCACGCATTGCACTGACGCCACATATAGATCCAACAAGATTGCCTGTGCAATACAGTTATTAAATAGTTATAATCTTTAAACTTTGCTCTACGACATCCAAGAAGGCCACGAAAAGCCATGTTGTATTTGGATCTAGCAAAGTACAGTTCATATTTTTCTTTTCAGAAATTATTAACGAAAGCTGTAGTCATATCGGATGAAATAAATAATTTATGATTTTAGTACATTTGGCAGTGGTACGGGGATCAGTAACACGTGTTCCGTGTGGAGTTGCGTTCATTAAATTCAGTAACTCAAAAAGTACGGGAAAACGTAACATACAGGTATGCTCACCGGCTTAAAGCGACCCATAGAAGATATATACTGACAAAGACAATATATTCTATATGTAAACGGAGTGAAAAACAAATCAGTGGTTCGAATCCCCAGGTGCAGAGACGGTAAGAGATGGTTATTCTCGGAATATCGACGATTGGATTTCACACTCACGGGAGCTACTTAAAAGCGTCTTCAACCGACAACACTAGTACTGTTGAAGCGCCTTCAAGAGACAACGAGCGTCGCCACACAAAATCTTTCAAAATATCGAATAAAGTAAGCGAGATCAGAAGAAAGGTTGTTAGTGTGACTTTAATACACCTCTATACCACATTTCAGCTAGATATTTGAAAAAAAATGGCCGAGTTATTATGATAAATTGAATTTTTACGATCGGCGGCGTTGCACACGTGTAGAACTCTACAGATCGTGAAACGTCATCAGACTTTACCTCCAAAGTTTAACTATATATACAGTAAACGACATCAGAAGACGTGTTATTCATAGGACTATGACACAATGTCGATATTTGACAAAAAAAATCATGATTGCACGACTACGGTTGCACACCTATGTATAGAACTCTACAGATCGTGAAGCGTTTTCAGACTATATCTCTAAAATTAATCTAAAAGGTAAGCGACATCAGTAAATATATTATTCATATTACTATAACACAACTATATACCAAGTTTCCGGTCGATACAAACAGGAATTCATGTTTGGACAATTCAGTTCTAAANTTATTGATTAAACAATACATTTTTAAAATGAAATGTCTAGAAATGGAACTTAATATAACAAGTTTAAAGAATCACATTCTTTTTTAACTTAAATCTTATAAGATCTTGATAATAAAGCGTACAAACTGAAAAAATAATATAGCATTGCTTAATACAGTAGAAAAATGGCTTCTCTTATAAAATAATGTGAACAATTATAATTATCATTATACTATACAGAAAAGTTTGCATACCCCCCCCTGTGACTGTGTATGTGTATGTGTGTACAGTATATAATTGGTCTCTTGTAAAGAGGTGTCCGTTGTGAAGAGAATTGTAATCAATGTAATGTATGCTTGTTGCTTTGTGTGTAAATTTGTTGTTTATAAAAAAGAAAAATTAGATAAAAAAAAAATTAAAAAAAAGTTTCCGGTCGATATTTGAAGAAAATGACCGTGTTATTGTGAGGTAAAATTTTACGATGTACAAGTATATGGTACGTACTTCGCATAGCTAGACACGGCCAACATTTAACCCGGATTGAATTGCTGTGTTAACACTGGTATAGGTTGTATATCATTTTGTTTGTTATTTTCGGGAGAACGTTTTCACGTACGCAACTGGTTTTTTTTTAGTGTTCCGTATTGTCAACATGTCATTCGTAGAAGCATAACAGTCGGTTTTCTTGCACACATGCTTTGGGAACTTTTCAACTTTTAGAGCTTTATCAAACATTGACCATTCCCGCGCGGCCAATTTAAAGCCGCCGGTACCTACGATACGTAAATGTACATAAAGAGTACTGCGATTGTTGAATGCTGAATGAGCTCGGGAACTATGTGTTCATTGTTTTGGAATTGATGTTTTCCAAAATTGTTGTTTATCCACCTTTTAGAAATGCAGATTTGCGCAATCTCGGTTTAATCACTTTTCTAAGTACATACAAAATGTAGCATCTAATTTAATTCCGTGGTACATCATGAGTATACTGCGACTGATGAATGGCCATCCTCGATACTCCAGGGGTTACGCTCACTTTCGCTCTCTGCGTAGAGCGTAAGTGAGCGTTACCCCTGGGGTATCGAGGATGCTGAATGGTATAAAGTATCTACACCTTGAATCAGATCGGAAACTCGAGAAGTTTGAAGCTTGATGTTGTGATTCATTGTTTTGCAACCTTTTTGTAAAACACCCTACGCTTGATCGTTGGTTAAACCTTTTCTGACCAATACGTCTCTATGCGTGTTCCATTAATCTTTTGTGAGATAGTAATGAATTTTTATATATAATATTGATTCAAAAAACCTTCTTTGCGTTGTTCTGTTATTGACTACACATAAACGGCCCTTTTTAGGGCCACCATCTTCCTTAAAAAGTGCCGAGAAACCCGAAAATAACGCATCCCTCCCACTTGACTGTTTACTATACTGCTCATGAATACGTTTTCAGTAAAAAAAAAAATACGGATCATCTAACATATTGTTAAGTCTATGGCCATAAGTTATATATTAATTCTCGGAATTAGATTAGATCACAGGGGCTAGCAACGATTTAAATGGGATAAGAATCGTTGCATTGCTAGCCCCTGTGATTAGGTCGACGTCCATGATTAATTTAAGTAAAAAAATGCTATAAGTTAATTATGTATTGAATTTAAGTTAAGGTTAAAGCGTATTTCTGCTGGTGCAAATGTTTAAATATAAAGTAATAATTATAATTGTTAACGTATAACTACTTATACAATACCAGCAAATCAGTGAAACAATATGTTTATACAGCTATCCAAAGTCCTACATGTACGTACACCTAGGATAATTTTTAATAACAATAATAATAATAATTTATTTTATTCAAATGTCACATATTGATCTACATATGAAAACAAGTAAAATGTACATAAAACTAGATCAATATCTAGCCAAAGTTAATCGACTTATTAGTCACTATTTAAAAGGCAATAATATGCATTAGAATATATGACAAGCCGAGAGCTTCATACGTGTACTCATAAAACTTTACCTCACGATAACTCGGTCATTTTTATTTTTAAATATCGACCTGCAACTCTGTAGATAGGAGTGTTATAGTCATATGACAATAAGTAATATATCTTCCGTGCTAGTTGAATCAACATGTGCATATGATCAATAAATGGTTAAGTAACAATTTAAGAAACTAGCAACTGAACTGACGCCTGCCGGGAATGGTCGGTACGTGTTTCGGTACAGCGACTGTGATACAGTGTTAAAAGAAAATATATATCACGCCTTTCAACATCGAAAAATTATCGTTAAAATTTGATAATTTGTTGAACAATTAATTGTGTTGAGTGTACCTCGTATGCTGAATTGTAAGTGTACCCACAGGCACTTGGAATTAGGGAAAGGGAGAAAAGTATATAAGCATAACGAGCTATGCCGGTCCTTTTTAATACTTTTTTCATTGTTTTTAATGCTAAAGGCTAAACTCAAGTGCCTGTGCACGTGGTGAACATCACTAACTAAATGGGCTCTATTTATAGACGTACATTCTATTGATATCTAACAATACATTAAATGAAAGCCGAGACATTTGTTTTTCCATTAGAGTAAAAAAATAAAATAGGAAATGATGATGTTTTTCTTTTTGAAAACAAAAAAATGCTTCATTTTTGGTATCCTAGCTAGCTGGCTCTCGTTAACGTTTAACGTTGCTGGCTGCCTCCAATACAGACGATGTGCACTCGTCAAACATTATCCACGTGCAGGATGTATTTGGAGAAATTAGGTGTCAACATCCGGAAAATGAGAGCACGGAGGGAGCCTCTAAATTTATAATCATCATCCCGTTTCCGGTGTAATTGTTTCTTTCTCAGGTGTGCAGACGAATTTGACACCTACGACGACAATAACACCCCAGAAGCTGCTGACATAAGCTTATGTGTACATAACAGGTATGTGTATGCTGGATCTGATGCCGTGGTCGTCTTGTGATCAAACAAGGACGAGTTGCACATAATGAATTATAATTTATTCGCTCAACATTTAGCACATATACTGTAATCATAAACAGGGGGAAAATATTTAGCCACTGACAGTGACAGCAGTGAGCAGAGTAGTAGTATGACTAATGTATGTCATATTACGAAATTACGGTAGCATGTGTCATACTTCTGATTAGTGCGATAAATGGATCCTGTCTTCGGTTTTATTGATGTCAGACTTATTTTGATACTTGTGTTAATAAGGTGTTGTCATATCTATTTTTAGTGAACTCTTCGTGGATTTAAATGAAGCAAAACCCATATAATAGTTGTGCACGCATTAAAGAAATGGATCATGAAATAGGACGACAACACATCTCTATACACTGTAGGTACAGTATGAATTGACACATATTTTTAATTATAGATGTAAGCATTTTAGTAATGCTGTATTAAATGAATATGTGTGTGTAACCAGTCCATACACTATCGAAAGTGAACTGGATTAAGTTAGCCAACAGGTTCATAATGTTGAACAAGAGTTTGGAGGTCCCCAATTTGAATTCCAATCTGCCTGTTACATTTGTAACATGAGAAAGAGAAATGCAAGGCCAGACTTGGACTCCAACCCTGAACCCTGCAAACTCTAGATGGAAACTCTACCAATTTGTAGCTGCCTGATTGCCGACAATCGACCCAGCCCAGTTCTGTTATATTCCTCTCCTTTTTCTAAGTCTTTGTCCTCATGCAAAGACAACACAATTTACAAGTTATATTTGGATACATCCCCTTCCTTAGTGCTTGAAATGTCAGTGTTAGCAAGCTTGCCAATTTTGCATCAGGCGAAAGAAAAATGCATAGTCAGACAGAGATTCAAACCGGGACCCTCCAAACTCTAGATGGACATGTACGCTCTACCAATTTTGCGATCTGCTCACCGATGATTGACCCAGTCTAGTTCCTCTGCACATTCTGTTACCCTGGCTAGGGTTATTAACGGAGTAAAACACGGAAAGAGGTACATTTTGTATACCTGTCAGGGTATGATGCTTATGATACATATCACGATTCACATATCTGCTCCAAAGGTCAACTTCATAATGATCAAAGGCAGGATTTAACAGAATTTCATCATAAATTGACTGAAATAAATAGAGGATATTTAATGGTGTCTTCAGTAGTAACAAATATATTTCACTTGTGTGTCAAATATTTTGCTATTTTACACTTGTGCTGTGCCCTCGTGAAAAATATCAAAATATTAGCCACACTCGTTAAATTACTTGTTATTACTGGAGACACCATTCAATTTTCTATTTATTCCATTTTTAGAGCATAAAACAAGAAAAATGTAATGCATTAAAAAAGGGCGGGAATCAGAAGCGTAATAATGAGCGCCATATTATAATGACGTTACGCTTGACAAGACTGCGCACCATTTTGAATGGGATATTCAACGCAATTCCGAAGTTTTCTGCTATTTTCTAGCATGATTGCTTTTAAAATATTGTTAATTGTATACTTCTGCAAATACTTACGTGTACATGTGTACCAAACATTTACCATAACAACCACTTATTCTACCGACGCTTCATTTGAATCTGAACAAATAAACATTGCCTTTGAATGCAGCGAATAGAAGTTACCGTTATGACTGGTCATGCTGTGATAATATCACTTTTGATATTTGTCACAGTGTGATAGATATCAGTTTTATCAAGTTGATAGAATCCGATATTTCACTGGCAAAAATGTAATAAAAATTATATTTTTGTATGCTTTTTAGTACTTTTGCGAAATGGACCACATCTTTACTGAAGGGTTCCTGAAGAATAACTGAATAACTTAGTCCCTGGGTTATAATATTGTAACCTTTGATATCCCCTCCTTATTACAATATATACAACTGCTAAGCTTGAAGATTTGGTTACACACACATCATATGTTGCCTGTATTGACCTTAGGGACTGGCCCTACAGTATATATATATAACCCCTAGGATCTAACATTGATAATCTTTCGTACTGGTAAAATGTATATATGGTAATGGTAATTATCTATGCAGGCCCTCTGGGCCTCTTGTTTAAGAAAAGTAACGAGAAAATCAAACTTGTTTTGTTTGTCCTAACAAGGTCTTCTTGTGTTACAATGCTTTTAAACTGACCATTTCTTTTCTGTTTTAGCGAGGAGCCTGTTCAGATGTACGTCATGGGGAAAGCTTCGTGAAGACTTGCTGTAAGACCCTACATTCATTGTTATGGCAGGCTTAGATACAGGAACTGTAACGGGTGACATTTTACAGGATTCTGTGAATAAATCTTTGACAGCATTATGTTTGGATGCCAGTTTGTCGGACATCAAGTTCGTGTTTCCAGAGGAACCTGGCAAGGTTGGAATTCCTGCCCACAGGTTGATTCTGGCCATGCGCAGTGCAGTTTTCAGGACAATGTTTTACGGTAGTTTGCCAGAGAGTGGACCGGAAGTGAAAATTGTTGATATAGCCAGCGATATTTTCTCATCAATTTTGAGGTATATATAACGATCAATGCAGTTTTTGATTAAGGTAGAGCATCCTACCACTTTTCTACTGTAGAAGGCTTGGACATTTTATTTTCCTGTTAAATTTATGTTACATGTAATGTATTAGTCCCCTCCAGTTCCTGATCAGGGTGGGGGTCATATGCATGGCGACTTTAGGTTCGCAGTTCTTTCATCTGTCCATCCATCTGTCGGAAGAGTTTGTCTGGGGCTTATATTTTCAAAACTGCTTCATCTGCATGTAGTAACCAGATAGATTTGGTATGAAAGTTCATTTTGAGATGTTGGAGTTTGGAGTACAAGAAGTAAGTCACTGTTACCTATGATTTTACTTCAACTTTTGAAAAACTTTGTTTGGAACATATTATAACTTCTTACTTCACCTGGAGTAACCAGATTTGGTATGCAAATACAATTTCGGTTCAAATAAGTGCTAAGTTAAAGAAATCCTGATGTAACTTGCATTATACATGTATCTGCATCACCCAAAGAACATTTACAGTGCACAATCGTTAAGTAACTGTGACCTTGAAGCTGCCTTGACCTCAAGGGCAAAGGTCAAATAAGTGCAAAGTTTTCAGCAACATCTTGTCTGGGCCTTAACTTTTAAACCGTTATTATTTATAAAAACAATATTTTTATTTGTATTTAATTTGTTAAACATTGTTATTATTTATATTGAAACATTTTTATTATTTATATTGAAACATTATTATTATTTATATTGAAACATTATTATTAGTTGTATAAATACATTATTATAATTTATATAAATACATAATTATTTGTTATATAAAAAACCTTATTATTGTTTGTTTAAATACATAGTTATTTGTTATACATGATCATTCTTTATATAAGTACGTTATTATCATTGTTTGTATACATGATCATTTCAGGTATGTGTATTCAGATGAAGTATCTATCAATGACGAAACTGTGATTCCACTTCTCCACGCATCCCAAAAGTATGAACTGTTGACGTTGCTCCATGAGTGCGAAAACTATCTGGAAGGTGCATTGAATGTAAAAAACGTATGCACGATCCTGAATCACGCAGCCTTGTTTGGTATGGACGATCTGATCAAAGATGCTTTGAGTTTCATTGAGATCAACGCAGCAGATGTGTTCAAAGAGGAGTCTTTCACTTTTCTCACTCAAAGTAACTTTGCTATGGTGTTGAAGAGTGAGAGAATCGGAACGGCAGAGATCAACATCTTCAATGCTGCGATTCGCTGGGCTGATGAACACTGCAATAAGGAGGAAAAGGCCATAAATGGTGAAAATCGTAGGCAGGCATTAGGAAATATGTTATTGCAGATCCGGTTCAATTTGCTTTCTTTAGAAGATTTCTCCAATGTTGTCGTTCCGACAGAAGTTTTGACAGATGATAATGTTCTGAAATTTTACAAACTTTTCACGCAAAAACATTTTGATACTGACACCATTGCAAATTTTATCAAAACTCCAAGGTTAGAGTACCCTCCCTTAGAAGTAAATCTTCAGACACTGACGCAAATACCCACCTGTACATTTGTACAGTCCGGTGGAATCAAATTAGGCTTGATTGGGGAGAGAGGGGTACAGAGTTTGGAAACAGTCTCCGTTTACACTACTCAGCCAATGAAAATCAGGCAGTTAGATTTTGTTCCCACTCCAACCGGAACCCCGGATCACCCTAAAATAGGTCACAACCCCCAAGGGGAATTCCGAATAGAACAAGCCCTGGTTTACATAGATGATGTCTCCAATGATATTGTAAAACCAATTTATAAGGGTAAAATTCCCCTCGGTCAGAAAACTTCAATGAAGTTTGACCTTATTCTTCAGATTGGTGATTGGACTAAATTGGCCATTGGTGTGAGCAAAATGTGCAGTATTTGTGGCATCATGGTGGCCCCAGAATATAATAAGATTCCAGAACAGTACACAAGGAATAGACACGGAAACTCCATAAAGTCCCCCAACACTAAATCTGTGGCTGCATTTGGGGGCAGCTTCCAGATAGCCACGTCTGGTCAAAATATTATCAAGTCTATCAGGTTTGAAAAAGAATATCCCATGAATTTAAGTCTTTCTTAGATACAGTAGCTATCCTGTAAAAAGATATAGCCAAGCTAACCTTTGGTTGGAAAAGAAAATCCAATGAATTTTAGTCTTTCTCAGAATCAGTTATCTACCATGAAATAAGAGATAGCAAAAAACAACATTTTGTTGGAAAATAATATACATATGTACCATGAATTTAAGTCTTTCCTAGACATAGTAGCTATATAATGTAAAAAAAAATTACAAATCCAGCATTAGGTTGAAAAGGGGATTTACAGATCAATAACGTGATCGCAAAAATATGAGCCGCAGAATAATATGACTTATTTAACAGAATACACTTGCTTGTTGTTGCTTGATTATGCTATAATAATGACTTAAACTCATTGTTCGTATGCCGAATATCCTGTCTCTGCTCAAATTGGCTTCCAGTGTCATCATTCTAAATTTTGATTTGCAAACATTTTAGCCTGTGTCAATATCCCGTTATACAGTATAATCCGACTGGACCCTTGTTTTGATAAACCTTTCCTGTACTCGGCATATCAATCAAGCTTCCTAGCATGTGCAAACATGTTTTGATATATATGCTTTTTTGTGCATAATGCTAAAAAAATTGAACTCATTCTATCAAAATATTTATTCAAGTTTATAAGAGCCCACTGTGGAAATTTGTACTCCCTTGTAATAATTAACATATATCGATATGTAACTTTTAATATTGCACATGGGACCATTAAGCAGATCAACATATAGGAATTATGCCACATATAAACAGCTACAAAAATTGTTGTACAAATTTTAAGCGAATGCGTGCTTAAATGGAACAATTATTTTCAGAAATAACAACATGGACTTAGTGTATAGAATGTTTTTCATGTAATTGGATTCTCACCAGTTGTGATATCATAAAGGGAATTACCCCCGAGCTAAAGTTTACTTTTTAGATACATTAATCAAGCATGGGGATAACCTGCATAGAGTGCGGGGTGGGTTGTCGATAACTTTTGATGTCTGACAGCTTCAGGGCCCTCCCTGCCCTCCCCCCTCAATCCCCCACCCAATACCCTAGGTGTTACCCCTGGCCTTTAGAAAGTTTCATCCCCCCTCCCCCCATCAATAATTTGAAAGAAACCCCTACTTCTCTCTTTTGTGTTAAACCCCCCCCTTTAAGGGTCTCCCAAAATAATAAATAAGCGTTATATAACGGCCCCTTAATTTTGACTGATAATGATCTCCATGTCACAAGAATGATATTCCATCTTTTCGTATTGCAGAGTTATCTGCTCTTGTGAGCAGGTATTGATTGTTACGTCATTTGTTTGTGAGAGTAACATCATCAATTTTTAATGACATAACAATCAATACCTGCTCACAAGAGAACATAACTCTGCAATACACAAAGACGGAATAGTCTGGAGAACAATGCACCATGTATTTCCTTTCATTTTTATAACAGGGTGGTTACTTTTTTTAAAATGAAAACAGTATTGACTGGACACATTTGAGGATTGTGTGTGTGGCATTGCATTAAGACAATTTCAATCTTTTGGGTATATACATATTTTAATGTTTTGTAAATTTGTGTTTTAAAAAAGACAATTCTCAAGATGAACCTAAAACTTCCAATATCATCTAATAATATCAACATAATGAATATGTTGTATGTATGATGTATGGTTGAAGAGGTGTGTACATGTATTAACCTGCATTATCGTCAGTTGATGTACATTTTACACATTCAAAAAATCACACATGAAACTTAATGCTTATAAAGGTCGTAATTTTTTCCGTTTTTATGTTACATCTGTGTTGATGAGAAAGCTTTTAGAATAAAGTGCTGTTGTTAATAGTTTAATCCTACTACGATATTGATATCCCCACATATCAACTTGATCTATTTTACAATAATTATGAAACAAGTTTGTGGAATTATATTATTATTATTACATTACAGGATGCATGGTAGTACACAGGTGGTCTTTAAATGTAGGAGACAACTGAGTAACAATAGACTCATTACCTGTCCATGTCCGATCAGGGAATCAAACCCTGGCAGTCTTGGTAAAAGAAAAGTGCGCTATCCAGAAGCGGGGGCCCGGTAGGTGACCCTATACATTTTCATGTCTGATCGGGGGATCAAACCTGCCATGGATCGGGTGGAAGGTGAGGGGTAGGGGGTGAGGGGTGAGGGGTGAGGAAGGGGGTTAGGTTACCCCATACATTTTCATGTCTGATCAGGGGATCAAACCTGCTATGGATCGGGTTGAAGGTGAGAGGTAGGGGTAGGGGGTGAGGGGTGAGGAAGGGGGTTAGGTTACCCCATACATTTTCATGTCTGATCAGGGGATCAAACCTGCTATGGATCGGGTGGAAGGTGAGGGGTAGGGGGTGGGGGGTGAGGAAGGGGGTTAGGTTACCCCATACATTTTCATGTCCGAATCAGGGAAACAAAATCTTGGCCGTCTTGGTCACAGACGAGTGCATTATCCAGCAGGGGTCTTAATGTGGGAGGAAACAGGAGTGCCCGTAGAAATTCCACATGGTCGGGTAGTTGACTCCATACATTTTCACGTCCGATTAAGGAATCAAACCCCCATGGCTGTCTTGGTGAAAGGAGAGTGTGCTATCCACTGCACCACCTGACCACTTAATTATTGTTTGTAATTGTAAGATGTTTGCTATAAACAAACGTTTTTTCCAACATCTTTATTAATTGTTTTAGCAACAGGGTTTGTCAATTATTGTATTTTATTTTAGGATAGTGCAATAGATGTTTTATTGATTTACTTAATATTATTTACTATTTTTATTATCATTTTTTATTTTTCTTAGATGGTTACTATCTTTGATGTGTTTTTATGTACACAGCTATGTGTCTTGTGTACACAGCTATATTTGAAATGATTAAGACAGTTTATGTAATACTGTAATACTGCTTTTGTCTGTAATTTAAGGATTCTCTTGCCACTACCAAAAACTGTAACTACATGAAGTATTGGAAACTATTTAAATCATTACTGAGAAGAAAAATCATATCTTACAGGACTTGATTGAGAAATAATAGGCCTAGGTTGAAATAAACAAAATACAATCAACAGTAGTGTTTTCAGTGTCGGTGAGACAGGACTGGGATTCGAACCAGGGTCCTTAGACTATTATTCTATCACTCTGACTGATCCTGGCCCAATAGTTCTACAGTGACATTCAAACAGAAGTTAAAGGGAGATAACTGTATATAGGAATAATCACAGTACGCAGTGTCACTACACTGGGATCCTTATTATGATGATTTTACACCAGATTCTGTTTCAATTTGTATTTATAAAAGAAATCTGAGAATTTTTCAATTTTTTAGCTCACCTGCACGAAGGGCAAGTGAGCTTATGTCATGGTGCGGCATCAGTCGGTCAATTTTTCTTTTAAACAAGCTCTTCTGAAGAACGAACAGGCATAGAGCCATAAAATTTGACTGAAAGCTCCGTTGGTAGTATAGGAGCCTGACAAAGTTTAAGAACGAAAATGACCTTGACCTACTTTCAAGGTCACAGGGGTCAGGTATGTCAAACTCTTCAAATGACTTCTTCTGAAGAACTGAAAGGTATAGAATCTTTATATTTGGCTGGTGGCTTCCTGGGATAGAGCCTGACAAAGTTAGAGAATGAAAATGACTTTGACCTATTTTCAAGGACACAGCGGTCAAAAATGTCAAACGCTTCAAACAACTTCTTCTGAAGAACTAACACAAATATGTCAAATTCTTTAAATGACTTCTTCTGAAGAACTAAAAGGTATAAAACCTTAATATTTGGCTGTTGGTTTCCTGAGATAGAGCCCCACAAAGTTTGAGAATGAAAATGACCTTGACTTTCTATCAAGGTCACAGGTGTCAAATATGTCAAAAACATCCAACTGCATAAAATTATAATATTTGGCTGGTGGCTTCCTGGGATAGAGCTCACCAAAGTTTGCAAATGAAAATGACCTCAACCTACTTTAAAGGTCACAGAGGTCAACAACATTTCAAAGGATTTGTTCTGAAAAACCAAAAGGAGTGGATTCATAAGATTTGGCTGATAGCCTCTTGGGATAGAGCCAACAAAGTTTGAGAAGGAAAATGACATTGACCTATACTTATAAGGTCACAGGGAAAAATATGTCAAACAACTTCTGAAGAAGAACCAAAAAGCATAGAATCTTAAAATAATATTTGGCAGGTAGTTTCAACAGATGGAGCCGACAAAGTTTGCGAGGGAAATATTTGTAGTGCAATATAATATTTAATGAGAATATTTTGCTATGACTGCTTAAATATTCAGGTGATCCATACAGGCCATCTGGGCCTCTTGTTTTTAGCAAGATAGCCTCTGGCAAACTAAAATTTAAACCTCAAGACAAGATTTAATTAGTCTTCTGTGAATTGGAAACAAGTTTAAGATCATTTTTATCACATGATAATACTATAAACAGCTATACAAGTTGTCTCGGGTCGTTTTTTAAACCTTAAGTTTTCACTTCATGGCGTCCTTTTCTGAGATGTCATGATACATTCTTGGAGCTGGTTTAGTCATTTCAATAATATTTTATGACATCACAATGTAATGTGTGGGTGGGGGCATCCATACAACCACTGACCATATCGCCCGATGTTACTGAACTAATGTGCTCCTCACAGGGTAATACTGCATCATGAGAAAAGCTCTCTCTCTCTCTCTCTCTCTCTCTCTCTCTTTCTCTCTCTCATTCCTATGTGTTTATGACATAACTGTCCAGGGTAAAAAAGGGGTCTGAGAAATTTCTATCTTGCACCCCATCTCACTTGTGTAATGTCACAAAGGGATTTTCAGTTTTTGACCTAATTCTGGTGATTGGAATGAGAGAAAAATGTCTTTCCTGCCATGATGTATAGGATAAGGAGATTCCACCGACACTTGGTTAGTATGGGGATTTCGACAAAATTGAAAACCACTTCGGAGGAACTACCCAAATGTACACCATAGGGCATGAAAGAGTATTATAGTCACATTTTACATGTTTATACAACCAAAATACAATTATGACATTGGTGTACTCACTGAATTAATTACTTGGTAGACATATAATATCAATTTGCATTTATCTTCTGTTCAGGAATTTGCTGTTAAATGGTGCTTTATCTATTGTTTCCTCAAAAAACATGATAGTTATTTGTTAAATAGTCTCCTGTGTTGTATCATATCTCATACTTAACATGTCTTTACTCTTTATTGTAAAGACGTGGTGCAGACTATTAAACATATTCCGAAATAATGTGCTATTCTATCAATGAAAAGAATGCCACTGTCACTATTAAATGTTTGTTTAAGGATCCCTGTCTTACTACAGTATGACATGTTTGTATAAGGATCCCTGTCCCACTACAGTATGAAATGTTTGTTTAAGGATCCCTGTCTCACTACAGTATGACATGTTTGTTTAAGGATCCCTGTCCCACTACAGAATGACATGTTTGTTTAAGGATCCCTGTCCCACTACCGTATGACATGTTTGTTTAAGGATCCCTGCCCCACTACAGTATGAAAAGTTAGTTCAATGATCCCTGTCCCACTACAGTTTGACATGTTTGTTTAAGGATCCCTGTCCCACTACCGTATGACATGTTTGTTTAAGGATCCCTGCCCCACTACAGTATGACATGTTTGTTTAATGATCCCTGTCCCACTACAGTATGACATGTTTGTTAAAGGATCCCTGTCCCACTACAGTATGGAATGTTTGTTAAAGGATCCCTGTCCCACTAGAGTATGGAATGTTTGTTAAAGGATCCCTGTCCCACTACAGTATGACATGTTTGTTTAAGGATACCTGTCCCACTACAGTATGACATGTTTGTTTAAGGATACCTGTCCCACTACAGTATGACATGTTTGTTTAAGGATACCTGTCCCACTACAGTATGACATGTTTGTTTAAGGATCACTGACCCACTACAGTATGACATGTTTGTTTAAGGATCCCTGCCCCACTATAGTATGAAAAGTTAGTTTAAGGTTCCCTGTCCCACTACAGTATGACATGTTTGTTTAAGGATCCCTGTCCCACTACAGTATGACATGTTTGTTTAAGGATCCCTACCCCACTACAGTATGACATGTTTGTTCAATGATCCCTGTCTCACTACAGTATGACATGTTTGTTTAAGGATCCCTGTCCCACTACAGTATGACATGTTTGTTTAAGGATCCCTGTCCCACTACAGTATGACATGTTTGTTTAAGGATCCCTGTCCCACTACAGTATGAAATGTTAGTTTAAGGATCCCTGTCCCACTACAGTATGACATGTTTTTTTAAGGATCCCTGTCCCACTATAGTATGAAATGTTAGTTTAAGGATCCCTGTCCCACTACAGTATGAAAAGTTAGTTTAAGGATCCCTGTCTCACTACAGTATGAAGAGTCTTTTTAATGATCCCTGTTTAAATGAAGGTAAAACACAAAATAGATCCTTTGAAGTTTTTCGCTCTCTTGGGTTGAGGAACCAAGGTTTGCTTATCCCATAGAGTTTGTCGTATATTTGTCTGTCCATTAACAATTTATTGAAACCCCTTCTATTTTGAAAATTGTATCTAAAGTTGGGCATAAAAATAGCCAGTTGGGTGATACAGGCCCTCTGATCCTCTTGTTTATTACATACAGTGACCTCACGTTCATTTTGTTTTCGATATAACAGTAGTGTGTCAGATTTCTACTTTTGATCAGTTAGCTTAGGTGGTTACACGGACTGTATACTTGTGATTGAGGGTCCATAGTTGGAATGCCAGTCTGACCCTGGAGTCGCAACTATACTCTCATAATATGTTTTTGATCTTTTTTTTATTTCATCTTTTGACTTTTTTGGTCATGAATTAAGTATTATCAAATATGGTTTTGGCTTCAGAAATGATTCATTAGTTCTATTTTGATGCAGGTAAAACGTCTCCAAATCATTTGACAAGTTTTTGGCAGTGGTACAAGGATCCTTTCGGTGGAAATTGTGACGCTTAATCAAATTAAACCACGGGAGCGAGCATAGTATTTGTGCCATTTGTTTTGGTCTTAATCACAACAGCAATTGGTCTTGTTAACTTCTGTGTAGAATGACACAAATGCATTATCTACCTTGTTATTTGTTACAAGGTTGGAGGGTTTTGAGATCAAGTATCGAAGAAGTTTTAGACCTTTATGTACATAATAATAAACAGTATATAATCGTATAATCTTAGTATACTTTAAACAGTGGTGGTCAATTTTGCAAATGTCTGATTGATCAAATAATTCGACTGTGTCCCTGGACAAGATGATAACATTGTGGAATTGACGAAAATGGCGGGTAGGCTGCCCAGATCAAATATGGCGGCTCCCCATGTGTTTATAGCGGCAGTCAATACCATGACAGCCAAAACATTCATCACGCATCCTGACAGCGCCTGACAAAGAGAGAAAAAACAACTGAAATATTAACAGAACCTACCACTTCTGCAAAAGTAGACAGACAAAAATGTCGATCTGATAGCGAGGCTTTGCCGAGTGATGAACCTCAACAAATCTTATCCAAATGAATGTAATTTCTGTGGCTCCATCACGTAATTACACTAAGTGACTTTCCTAACGTAACAAGTACTCCCAAGTAATTAGTCTATTAGTAAATCCGATAAAAGGTGCCCTCATCATTTGCACGTGAAACGTGCGACAATTCTGAAGACTCGATATTATTGCGATAAACATGTGTGTGCTGTAAAAGTTTTCGCATTGTGCAAATGTCCTCGTTTTGGAGTTGAGTCAATTAGCGCGATAATATTCAAACGCGAATATTTATTTACAGATAATCATGCAGAACATTTGTTGAGGGCGAAAATGTGCACACTGAGATGAGATTAAAAGGTCACAACACGAACATTTCAACACACAAATAGTTCTACTTTTACAGCAGATACGCTATTTAAAGTGACGACAATCCCTTTGTCAAATTAACCGGACGTATGAGTTTCTTAATGTTCCAAGCAAGAACCGGAAAGCACCTGTGACGTGCGGGAAAACTCTACTTTTATCACAAGTTAGATATATACTTATTCCTCAATACATGCAATACTTAATACTTTGAATATCGATAAAACAATTCAGGGTGTTGATACAGAGTCCAGTAACTCAACACATTGTAATAACGAAATAACGTCAATTATAGTTGGTTTCGTTAACGAAAACGACATAAAACAAACCAACTCGAAAAGGGTCATGATTACAGTTTCTGGTTTGCACATCATGACACTATGTTTCATTTATGTTACAGTAACATTGCTCACACTTTTGTATGGCGATGCCTTTAACAGGACAGTATTGATCCACCCCAGTGTTTCTTATTAATTTTTAATGCAACAGATACTATAAAAAGTTTATATTTCGTTCAAATACTCATTTGCTTTACCATGTCCGGAATGGTCAAATATCCCGTGGAGAACACGATAGCGTTTGGGGGTGTGGCAACCGGCAGCATGAAGGCAAAAGAGCACGCTAAGGCCGTGGATATCATCAGGTAGAGGGGATGTATACCTGTCGTGATGGCCTAGAAAGAACAAAAATACGACGTGGATAAAAAGAGAGATTTTTTGTTTGTTTGTTTGATTTTGTTTAACGTCCTATTAACAGCTAAGGTCATTTAAGGACGGCCTCCCCTGTGTGCAAGATGCATGCGTGTAGTGTATGTGTGTGTATTTTGGGAGGCTGCGATATGTTCGTGTTTGTCTCCTTGTGATAGCGCGGAACTGATGCCGACTTTATAGTGCTACCCCACTGAAACATACTGAGACACCCAGCTGGACGCCCCACCCGGTCACATTATACTGACAACGGGCGAACCAGTCGTCCCACTCCTAACTTGCTGAGCGTTAAGCAGGAGTAGAAACTACCATTGTTAAAGACTTTGGTATGTCTCGGCCAGGGGACAGAACCCAAAGCCTTCCTCACAGGGGCGAACGCTCAACAAATGGCCAAAAGTGAGGCATTGTCAAGGGAGACATTAGGAAGAAGAAAGTTATTTAGAAAGGAGAGAAGAGATAAGGTCCCAAATTTAGTCGCCTCTTACGATCATGCAATTGGGGGCAGCAGGTACAATTCTTATGCCCTACCTGCAGGGTTCTAAAAAAGAGAGAGGATACGTGCATACGTTAATTAGGAGGCACGGTAGTCTATAGTTGTAGGACGCTGGGCTCGTGACCGAAGGGTGGCGGGTTCGAGTCACGGCACGGCACTGTGTTGTATCTTTGAGCTAGACACTTTACTCCGCTTGTTCCAGTCTACTCAGCTGTAAATGAGTTCGTGGTAAGGCAGTGCTAAAATGGTAAAATGCTAGCTGTGAGCGCCGAAATGGCAGCACCGGCTGTATGCTCCCCAGGGAGTTGAGAAAGATATTGGCTGGTTGCAAAGGCCCTATAACCACTGATAATAATTTGTGAACCGCTTTGCGACGACCTACGAACTAGGTTGTGATAAAGTGGTATATCAGAACCTCGAATCATTATTATTAATAAAGGAAGTGAGGAAGCACGCCTGCGGTGATGACAACAAAACCTGTATCACTGAAAGGTGATCAAGGTGCTCACATTTTTTGCGTTCAGTAGATTAGAGAGAGAATATCCACACGCGAATATTAATTGAACTATCATATGTAAAATACATGAATTTCCTGACCAGTTTCAACGCGAAAATACCCAAACCGCGACCGGTTTAAACAGTAGTTTACAACGCAAACATTTCCGCACGCGAAAATGTTTACTTCTACAGCTTCAACAACTCTCCAGTGGTGGGAGAAGCTAACAAAGTGAAGTAAAAAATAACATTAGGGTCCAGCTGTTCAAAAGGTGATTAGCTTAATCAGTGATTAGAGCAAATTTTAATTTTTGTATATCTTTAACACACAACCACTGAGTTAGTTACAACTTTCCAGATATAAAATATTTAGTAGAGTGAATTTACATGCACAATGGTGAGATTTTACTTTGTATATCGACAAAATTATTAAAGGTTGACAAAATGTCGTTAAACTGTGATAAAGCTAATCACCTTTTGGACAACTGGGCCCAGATCTTAGATACAACTATTTATACACAACAGACTATCTGTAATAGTGTTTTGGAGAGAGGGATTCCGTCCTAGGACGAGTACCGGAGAAGTTGTATAATTTGTTTGTTAACAAAAGCTTCACACAATGGCGTGCAATACTTTAAAGTGCAAGGCAAACATTCATTATATATACGAAATTACCGTCGGCAAAATATTACCTACCAGTTCAAACACGATTGGCATGAGGAGGGAGGCAGTAGCCGTGTTACTGGTGATCTCGGTAGCGCCCGCCACCGTCAGACATAAGATAAGGTTCATCACCCAGGGGTCAAGAGATCTTAATACGCCGAGTTCACACCCAACCAATCGTGACAGCCCCGAACTCTGTTGAAGAGGAAACCATCGCAGTTATTGAATATGTTATGTCATTATTCCAGTACAGAAAAAAAAAATCAGAAGCATTGCCAGACAAAAAAGATAGTTGAGAAATATAAACATATAGAGTGGAATAGTTCAGAGATATTTACAAACGGAGAATAATAGCTCAGAGATATTTACATACAGAGTATAGTAGTTCAAAGATATTTACATAGAGAGTATATAGTAATTAAGATATATTTACATACAGGGAAAAAAAGTTCAGAGATATTTACATACAGAGAACAATAGACCAGAGATATTTACATACGCAATGGAATAATTCTGAGATATATACATGTACATTACAAAGAAGAATATTTCAGAATTACTTACATATAGAGTGGAATAGTTCAGAGATATTAACATACAGAGTCGAATAGTTAAGAGATATTTACATATGGAATGAAATAGTTAAGATACTTTCATACTGAAAAGAATAATTCAGAGATAATTGCATGAAGAGAAGAATAGTTCAATGACAATGACAAACAGAGAAACTTACAAAGAGGAATAATTCAGGGAAGATTAACATAGAGAGAAGAATAATTCGTGGGGAATTCCGCCCAAGTAGTACAAAGGACATCCAGCATTGACTTTGACATTGAATACGGCTTTCACTTACTGTACAGGCGTCGCCAAGAGCGAACCCACCACCTAGAAGGACTAACACACCCCAGGCCACCTTTTTCTCTGCAACCTTCCATGTCAGGATGGGTTTGTACGCAGGACGGTTTTGTTCCTCTTCCTCGGTTTGTACATCTGCAACTTTAACGAAAAGCTCACAGCTTTATAAACTCTCCTGTTATAATCAGATATAGAGTTTCATCAACGCTGAGGCGACTACCCAATATCTAGGCCTCGATCCCGCGACCCAGTGGTAAAGGGCTTGTGGTAGCAGAATATCAGATGCTGAATATTGAACAGATTCAGATCTAAGCTGTAAAGCGCTTTAGAGTGGCTTATGTTAGCTAGATAGGGCGCTATATCACATGATGTATATAATCAGTATTATTATTGACGGTGGATTATCATATTTATCTAACTCATGTTAGTTTATTTTCAAATTGTATATATAAAGACACAAGGTTTACCGAGTGTCTTTTACAATTTGAAAATAAACTAAGGAGAGTATAAACGAAAGCATTAGTACAATGAGAGGGGTTTACCTTTCAGATAATATTTGTTATGTATTCAGAATAAAGACATGTTTGTGGTCAAAACATATTTCTCATTTATTATTCATATTAGCTGATGAATCCCATTCTGAACATTGATTTTGGTTTGTTTATGTTTTACGTCCTATTACAACCAATGGTCATTTAAGGACGTGCCAGGTTTTGGTGGTGGAGGAAAGACGGAGTTTCCGGAGAAAACCGCCGACCTACGGCCGGTACCTGGCTACTGCCCCACGTAGGTCTTGAACCCACGACCCAGTGGTGGAGGGCTAGTGGTAGCAGCATGTCAGACGCCTTAAAACTTCGGCCGAATACTGAACATATCATATTTAACACAAGGCTTTTGAAGAATATGTTTCTTGCCCATCTTAATGAAGTTTTAATGACGAACGTACCCGAGTAACGGCTCCAACAGAATATTTTGGGTACCTCTGAAGGCAACACAAAGAGCAGTGTTGCTACCAAGATGGCGGCAGTGGAATCACGCACCGTACTCTTCCTGTATATAAAAGGCATACACTAACTGTCAAGTAGCTGTTATATTATATATAAAAAAATAAATCCTTGTATTTTGGGCCTTGGTAAGTGTTTGTCCATAAATACAGTGTACTTATACAACAAGTGTATTCGACTTTAACAATTTACCCAGCATTTATTTTTTAATAGTTTTGACAACGTGTTGAATTCGAAATACTGTTGAAACAAAGATACCTATCTTAAACAATAAATATGATGATGCAGTGAATGGTTCTTTTCCTAACGTACCCGTCAGCATCTAAGAACCCGTTGCCCCACCCACCAACATCTGGCAGGTCCCGGAACACCCACAGCAACGCCAGTATAGACAGCAATACTAATACGACCACCTCTCCGAACCTGTAACGAGATAGGTCTTAATTTTAATATCAATATGTATTTCAATGTTGTTTTTTCAGTAGTATGATGTAGCAAGTATCTATCAGACAAATAAACACATTAAAGGGTCTTATTTATAGACAATCATGAAACAAGGTATTTCAACTGATATTAATCATTCTTGTTGGCCAGAATGAAGCGCACAAATTGTCAAAATGTGGTAGGAAACCAGAGTACACAGAGAAACCTGAGAATCCAGAGAAACCAGAGTACCCAGAGAAACCAGAGTATCCAGAGAAATCAGAGTACCCAGAGAAACCAGAGTACCCAGAGAAACCAGGGAAACCAGAGTACCAAGAGAAACCAGAGAAACTAGAGTACCCAGAGTACCCAGAGAAACCAGAGTATCCAGAGAAACCAGAGTACCCAGAGTACCCAGAGAAACCAGAGTATCCAGAGAAACCAGAGTACCCAGAGTACCCAGAGAAACCAGAGTACCCAGAGTACCCAGAGTACCCAGAGAAGTCAGAGTACCCAGAGAAACCAGAGTACCCAGAGAAACCAGAGTATCCAGAGAAACCAGAGTACCCAGAGTACCCAGAGAAACCAGAGTATCCAGAGAAACCAGAGTACCCACAGAAACCAGAGTATCCAGAGAAATCAGAGTACCCAGAGTAACCAGAGTAACCAGAGTACCCAGAGTACCCAGAGAAGCCAGAGTACCCAGAGAAGCCAGAGTACCCAGAGAAACAAGAGTACCCATAGAAACCAGAGTACCAAGAGTAACCAGAGTAACCAGAGAAATCAGAGTAACCAGAGAAATCAGAGTACCCAGAGTAACCAGAGTACCCAGAGTAACCAATGAAATCAGAGTACCCAGAGTACCCAGAGTAACCAGAGTAACCAGAGAAATTAGAGTACCCAGAGTAACCAGAGTAACCAGAGAAATCAGAGTACCCAGAGTACCCAGGGTACCCAGAGTACCCCGAGTACCCAGAGTAGCCCTAGTGGACGGACAGTTGACCACCACACATATTACTTTCCACGTCCGAGCGGGATATTGAACCTCGGACGCCTTGGTGAAAGGAGAGTGGGCTATCAGCTTGGCCATCTGACACACCCATGTTGAGCAACAAACACAGAAGATCTACGATTTGCTCCTCATTTTTATGACATGGCGTTACTTGCTGGTTTACTTTAGAAAAAAATCAAGCAAGCAATACATTCCGTAAAATGTCCTATGAAAACCCCACCTCATTTCGGGTACCCTCACATCATATATTGTACAACGATTTGTTTATAGTGTTGGAAATATTCACAAGCACATCAGGTCGGAAAACATACATCTATCGTTAGGAAGCAAATTGAGCATGATATAGTTTGAATAATATATGGAAGTAAATCTCATGAAACGCCCACTTTGATGTAACAGCCAAGGTTTCGAAATCAATGATTCCAGGTGATTCAATGATGACAGTACATAGCCATAAGAATTTCTCAGTATTATGTATTATCACACCATGTTTTCAAGGTTTGTCGTGAGAATTTCTTTCTCATTGTGAGCACGTAGATAAAATCAAGTGGTAACCACAGGTTGGCTCAAACCATGCAGACATCATATACTTTGATTGTTATAACTGGTCATAACAGTTTGAGCAAACTTTGTAAAATTATTTGCTCAAATATTATGAGCTGATTTTGTTTAACAGATAATATGTATCGTAATACAAATCGTATCGTAAGCATTATATCGCAATATGCATCGTGATACGTATCGTATCGGAAGCATTGTATCGCAATATGCATCATGATACGTACCGTATCGTAAGAATCGTTCTGCGATATGTATCGTGATACATATAGTATTGGAAGCATTGTATCGCAATATGCATCGTGATACGTATCGTATCGTAAGAATCGTACCGCAATACGTATCGAATCATGATGTATGTGTAACGTTTCAGCCCTATCTCAAACAATGAAATCTGAATATTTTTTCTGCATAAACAAGCGACTATTTAATGTAAATACCATTCGAACTTTTGCCAATTACTTCAAGAAAATGCTTGTTGGATTCGGATGAAGATTGATAATTCCTGTTTACCTGTTTTTTGTCAATAGTGTTGTATAATAATGTGTATTAATAATTTTAAACAATGTTTTGAAAACAAATATTGCAAGCTGGAACCATATAGTGCTTTAAGGGGAGATAAGTTGAACTGCTTACCTAATAGCTCCTAGTTTCTTATATTCCTGTCGGACAGCAGATTCTATAGCATTTTTTCTGCCTTCATCAACTGATTTGCAGCAACTGAAATGAAGAACAATTGATTTCGATTACTGTTACTAATTTCGAAAAGATATACATGTATGACGTTTGTCTTACGAAACGTGATGTAAATTATTGTAGAATATCACGCTTAAAGAAAATCTGTTACTGTTCAAAGCAATCATTACAAATGTTAATTCATAACAGATTCAAAATATTTGAAAAGTAAAATTTGTGTGAAGGGACCATCCTTGGAAGGTCCAAAACTTGGTCTTTTAATATATAGGTCACTGTTGGCAGCGTTGTAAAGGTTAATTTAACAACGAAATTATTACACTGAGAGAACATTTAATCGGGGTTCTCAACACAGGTGGTCTCTTAATGTAGTTGATGTCTTGATATAGGATGGACCACAAAACGCGGTCTTTTAAAACAGGTTATCTCTCTTGAATGTGGTCGCCTCAGCAGGTATGCCTATAGTTTGAATGATACCGAACATGGTATTCCCTTCACGTACCCACATCTCAGGAAGACGATCTGGAGCCAGAACCATGTGAGGAACAACATGATGAGTGACAAAGGAAACGCAAACGCCATCCAGTTGGCGTACGTTATTCCGGAGTCTGCAGCTCCAACCTTCTGAAACTGTCTACGGTAAAAATATATTGATAATGCTTTGCTTTAACAACTTGTTTTTAATATTCTTTTGATAGTATATAGTGACGCAATTAAAACTCTGATGCAATATTTGTGGTACATAAATCTCATTATCGATTGTTCCATTGATCATATTATTTACAGTAATGGTCATCAATGACATACACGAAGTATATATCCGAAATGTATAAGACGCAGGTTGACAAAGACCTTGGGCAAGTTCCATTGTCGCCATCAGGATCTTGCTTTGTGTGTGATATGAAGGTCGATGTTGTTTTATTATGTTCATTAGAGGGCCTTGTAGTTTGATTGCCACTACGCGAGTTATCGATGCGAGGATGTGGCATAACTTAGATTGGACTTAGAGTAACATGGCAAATGCCAGCAATATTTTGTGAGACACATATACGAATATATGTCTTTGAAGACATATATAGAATCCGTATGATGTTTCGTTTTCTGATTGGTCAGCAAACGTGGCGGCATTGGCCTCGGATTGATTGACACAAGTATGGTGTACCCCAAGGTGTTTCCAACGGTACCTCTCTGTCTCCTTTTGGTTTTGCTCAAACTGAGTATGTAAATGTATGCCAAGGTGATTCGAACAGTCCCTCTCCCTTTTTTGTTTTGCTCAAAGATGCAAACGGTCCCTATCTATGTCTTATTGGTTTTGCTTAAACTTAGTCCATATAAATGTACGCCAAGGTTATTCCAGAAGTCCGTTTCTGTCGTTTTGGTTTTGTTCAAACTTAGTATGTAAGTGTATGCCAAGGTGATTCGAACAGTCCCTCTCCCTTTTTTTGTTGTGCTCAAAGATTCAAACGGTCCCTATCAAACTAAGTCCATATAAGTGTACGCCAAGGTGATTCCAGCAGTCCGTCTCTGTCTTTTTGGCTTTGCTAGAACTCAGTATGTTTACGCCAAGGTGATTCCAGCAGTCCGTCTCTGCCGTTTTGGCTTTGCTAGAACTACATTGTAAGTATGTCTACGCGAAGGTGATTCCAGCGGTCTGTCTTTGTCTTCTTTGTTTCGCTCAACCAAACTTAGTATGTCACCGTACACCAATATTAATACAAATGTCCCCTTTTAGGTCTTTTTGGTTCACTAACTTGTAATTAAGCATGTAAACAGAAAGGGTGATGAATCTGCAATTGTTTTACACTATAAATATTGATATCCTAATATATTTACCCGCCATTCTGCTATCACTCCCAACTTACTTCTCTGCTTGGCCATGAAGCACCAGATTCGGCGGGGTTCCAGTTAGAGTGGCAATACCGCCTACATTGGCTGCATATGCAACGCTGAGCGTCAATCCCTTACTGAGTCTCTGGTTCTCCTTCAGCGACATATGTGCGGCTGTTTGTTCCGATACGGCAGTCAGAATGGGAAGCATCATGGCGGTCGCCGCTGTATTACTGATCCACATAGACAGGACCCACGTAGGGAGCATAAGACCAAACATCAACCTAGCAGGAGAGAAGATTCTTATTGGAATTTAAACGAGTTGGAAATACATTAGACACTCTAGTTCTGGCGTGAAATGTTTTGTGATTTGGTTCCAATATTTGAATTGTCACTTCACAGGTTAAGAAGAAGATTAAAGATCCCCGCACCACTGTCACAAAATGTACTGTAGTGATGTATTAGAAACTATTTCTGTTATGTCTCACGTTATATTCTTGCTTAAGTTTAAATATTTATACAAACACATTAAAATGCTTCATCTCTTGAAAATACCGCATCGGTATTTCAATGTCGTAAAATACCAAAGGGTAGAGGATTACCGAGTACATAAAACAGTTAAATATTTCACCGTGTAAAAACTCGCGAGCCGACGTCCTTTTCCACAAATTCCCGCGAATTCTACACAGTGCAAATATTCATTTCGTGACCAAAACGCGAAAATAATTTTGCACTAATTCGAAGCTGCATACAGTATATGGATTATAAGACTCTTGCATGTCAAAAGGTGTAGGCGTCAATGTCCCAAAACAATCGTATTCCGTCTTTTCGTATTGCAGAGTTATCTGCTCTTGTGAGCAGGTATTGATTGTTACGTCATTTGTTTGTGAGAGTAACGTAATATATTTAGAAGAAAACGACGTAATTTTCTCACACAAACTAATAACGTAACAATCAATACCTGCTCACAAGAGCAGATAACTCTGCACTACGAAAAGACGGAATACCCTTTTCTCGACCTGAACATTTCTTCAACAGAGGAAAGATTTTTAAATCACTCACGTGTTGGAACGTGATCCTAACTTCATTGTTATCCCCATTGCAATACGTCTGTGAATGTTGACCTCCTCCATAGCAACGCCAATAAGCAGTCCCCCTAGAAACAGCATACTGGTGTCCTTGAAACAAAACATAGTATACTAGTGTAACATGACAACATGCATGCAATATATTATGCTCAAATTAAATATTAGTTGCATTTACCACAGACCATGGCAATGGCCGTACTCACTTGATGTGCACAAACATGTCAAACCGTATTTAATTTGAGGTAGCTACAAACAGACCAAATAACAGTGCCTTAAGGATCCCCGTACCACTGCCAAAAACTGTTAATTCATAAAGGAAATATTTTGTTCGGTATAACTATAACATTTATAATCATTTCTGAAAAGAAAATGATACCTTTTTTATGTAAATAACAAATATATATATATATAAAATACATAAATCGTTCTCTATTCAGTGTTTTGAGTGTAATAAAGTTGCAAGATTCGAACCATGATACTACTCAGATTCGAAAATGGTCTCTTTAACTAACTGGACAACCTGGCACGGACGTCCTTTGGCCCAAATCCGCTACAGTTATATCCAAAACGAAATTAAGGGGAGGTAGCTGTATATGCGGAAATCATCTAGTGTTTTGACTGTTTAGTTGAAACATATTTTATTGCCAAGCAAATGGAATGGGCACAAGTTATTAAATTTATATTAAGCCCTTTTCCATTTCGATTAAATGTTTCTTTCGAGTTCATTTATCGCCGACTTGACCCCGTATATAATAGAAAATGCATTGCACACAAAATTGTATAACCCCCAAAAAATGTAAAGGTTTCTAAGCTTTCCATTAAACATCAATATTTTCGTTATTTCATAGACTTTTTATGCGAATCTATAAACCACATGTTAATCAATTGTGTGCGAGACGAAATTATAAATGTTGAAGATGGGTAATCGTTTAATAACAAAGATAGTGAAATGGATCATTATTCGTAGATACTTAAGGTGAACTGTTACCCAACACTGACGACATACAGATGATCCCTTTCCACGTTTTCCATATAAGGCTTCCTTCTCATATCATTAAATTACCGGATCAAGGATGTTAAACCTTTCGCTTCAATCGGGATCCGTCGGCACTTTCCGTAAACGAGAAAAGATTCGTTTACGGAAAGTGCCGACGGTTTCCAATTGCTTTATATTCGTATATTGTATAAGCTTAAATGTTGAGTATTCAAAAAAAAAAAATATGCATTCCGTTTGCTCTGTACATTATATGAGTCAAGTAGCGATTGGAGAATCAAAAACGCAGTGGGAACCCTAAAATGCTTTATCAGTTAGAACTGCCGAAAGAAGGACGGGCGAGCGTTCGAGTGAACGGAAAAGCGCCATATCAGAATGTGTGTTCTTCTATTTTTAATACGTGCTAAGTACAATGAAATCAACTTCCAACGGAACAAATATAAATGTGGTGGAGATTACCATTTGAACAACCCAACTCTTATGGGATCTTGTGAAGAAATTCACGTTACTGGCGACCAGGTCAAAGGGGGATAACTGCAAATATATATTTGTGAAACTCAAATGTGCTGCTGTTTTAATTTCAATTTGCACTTGGGTTCGATGGGACACTGCGCAAGACCTGTGTCGTTTGTTCAGATTTCAACTCCTAATAGAACAATATTTCAGGAATAACATATTTGATCCCGGCTACATCGCAGAATTTCATGTACTCTATTTTCGTTGTGTCTTCAATTTCTGACGGAAACACATACCGTGGGCCCGTATTTATGGAACCGTTCAAATGCTCAAGCATGTATTTTGTGCTCATGCCTAATTTCTTGTTCCGGTTATAGATTAATAAAAACAAACTATTTTTGTCAATGATTTGGAAACAAAGTTGAAGGCCGTATACTATTTCCGAATTTTTTCATTTTATTTCTGATCGTTTGGCATGATTTAATTGGGTTACAGGAAAACTGGTTTGAGCACATAGTCCATGCTTGACCATGAGAACAGTTTCATGAATACGGATTCAAGTGTGGCTTGTGCCGTGTTCGAATTTTAGTGGTAGTCTAAGGTAAACATATCCTGTCGCTATTAGTCCCGAATTCGACTCCTGACTAGAATCACTCACTGCCGCTTGTCCAGGGTTCGACTCATACAACAGAAGACATTTTTGTACCATACACATTGTCACCGACGTGTAACCGCTTGCACGTTTTAGGAAAAAGACAATAGCATGACGTCATGATCGGTAAAATAGAGATACCCACTTGTGACGTCACAAACCTGTTGCTAAGCTGCGTAGCAATTTGGCGAAGGCGGAGATGATCAGTCTCTCCCCTGATATTTACTTATTTTGTTTAAATCTTCGATTACCACAATGAATATCAAGTTATTCTTGATTTTTGTGGTAATGATGTGCGCCATGTGCCAAGGGCCTGCTGTATATCGCGACCTTACGTGGTAAGTTTGGACCAGACAAGGGTAGGACGAGATCTTAGATGTTATTCTTTGACTTGACATTACGAAAAGACCTAACGGCGCTCAAATAAATGTCAATATATGTTGACATTGAATGTTTGGAAATAGTAAATCTTAAGTTTGTAATTTTACCTCTGTAGCGTGGAGCCCGAGCCAGGATATGCCAAAAGATTGGTTTACTATTTCAATATTGACATTGAATGTTTGGAAATAGTAAATCTTAAAATGGTAGTTTTATCTCTGTAGCGTGGAGCCCGAGCCAGGATATGCCAAAAGATTGTTTTACCTTTTCAACGCTGGAGAAATTGAGAAAGTCTGTCCAACAGTTGCCGATCTGACATCGGTAAGGATTACATATTTGTTATTTTAATGACTGTTATGAAAACGTCAGCGCATTGTTTTTACTAATAATTAAGTAAGATCATGTTTGAGATGATGCTTATCTGGTTCTTCGTCTCACAAAGTTATTACACCTATTAATGATTATGCGGATCAAAGAACTAAACTCTACCGCGAATTAAATGAGTTCATTCCACTTAATTTGCAGCTAATACTATACTATACTATACTATACTATAATAATGAATTGTTCTATCAAGAAAACATCCTAATAGCCAAACAGACGCAGCAATTTATTCTAGATACTAACAGATTTTGAGTATATTTTTTTGTACTCCTCCATGTTTATCAACTAAATCTCTCTCTCTCAACTCCCATTGTATATAATTTACAATAAAATATGTTTAAAAAGATATAGCTGTGTGTATTTCGCAATATTTATCACCCGGCGGATATGCTATAATTGCGTCAAGTTGGCACAAACACATTGAATGATTGTATTATAGTACAATTTCCAGAAAACAACTATGATCTGATTATTTTTAGCGAATTGGGAATGAGATATTCTGTAATCTTCTGTGTGTGCTTCTAACTCTGCTGTTGGGCTATGCGCCGTCGATCGGAAAAGTAGTCGAAGAGAAATGGTCAGCCGCCGTGTCAATGTTCCAAGAATGGAGAGCTCGTAAGTAACTAGCAAAAGTTAAAAATTGAAGAAAGCAGCATTTTTCAGTTCTAGTGTTCTGTCTACCTTTTGATTAAAGAGTTTTCAAAAGTTAATGTACCTTTCTATGAACCTAGTGTTGTAAAACTACCTTAACGCGCCACCTTCCGGATGGTACACGTTTGCTAGCTTGGAAACCATTTGGTATCATGTATACTTGTGTTCTCAGACCAATTTTTTTTTATTAAATATTATTGCGAATTATTTGGTAACGTTCAGTGTAATTGTGAAATTAACAGGCTTTAATTTTGATAATCTTTGAAGTACGGGTACCAATTTCTAGCAGCCTTGTAATTGGTTAGACTTGGATGTCTGGAAACAGTCAGAAAGCTAACCAAATTTCAGTCCACGATTCCGTTCTGATAAAATCTCAGGATGCAATGGAAGTAATGTTTTGTGTGTCGAAATCGAAAACCTTGGATTTTGGAAATTTGTATTAACAAAAATATCTGTTTATGCAGGTCATTCCATCTGTCGTCACTGTGGTACTTCGCCATGTCAGGTCAAAATGAGATCCTTGTGGAAGCCCACCGGATCTCGTAAGAAAGACAAGGCGAATTTCGCAAAAAGGTCAAACGCCATGATGTTGTTTTACTATGGACTAGAGTTGTCCGTGTTACTGACCAAGGAGCTGCCATGAAATGACCTGCACTTGGAGAGGAAGTTCGTCCAGCATTTTGAGGAGGAGCATATGGTATTGTTCCCAGTGTGCATTCAGCGTCAGATCAAGTACTGGTACCCTGTCCCTCGCTAGGTATGTACTCTGCCTCTCAACAGGTACTGTATGTCTCTTGCTAAGTTGGTACTATATCTCTCCCTATGTAATTTGTCCCTCGCCAGGAATACTGTCACTCACTAGCTCTGATGTCCCTTGCTAGGTAGGTACTATTTCTCTCTAGGTACTCTGTTCCTTGCTAGCTTGGTGCTATGTCCCTCGCTAGGAACACTGTCACTCACTAGGTGCTATGTCCTTTGCTAGGTAGGTGTACTCTTCCTCTCTGTAGGTACTATGTCCCTCACTCGGTTGGTACTATATCCCTCCTCTCTAGGTAAAATGTCCTTGCTAGGTTGGTATTATGTTCCTCACTAGGTACTCATTCCTCACTATAGGTAGGTTACCTCTTCTTTGCTAGGTACGTTCCTCCCCAAAATAAAAACACAAGGATATATTTTTTTTATTTTGATTTATTAATTTAGAGCAATTATTTGAAATTAATTTCCCTTTATGTCCATACTACAATACATGACAACATTTTGTTTTGCATTGGAGAACGGACAGATTGTGTAACAAGTTAACATGAAATTTTGTAATTTATTTTACTATTTATTTCGTTGCAGAGTCGTTGCGTCGTTCAAATGGGTGGGATGTGGATGGCAGTCGGAGCTGGAATAGAAGTGTGAGGATTGACGTCACAGCCTCGATTTGGCTGTCTTTGGGTTTTTTGTCACGATTAGTTCCAAAAGGAATGTTTTTTGACCAGTGGTTCGGTGTAATTGTATTGCTTCTTATATTAATTAAAATATCCAGGTGAAGCTTTGTGAATGCAGATTGTTAGTGAGCCTATAAAGAACTTTTGAACAGTGTTATTGACCAGCAGTGGTCCAATTTATCAATTTTCGTTTTTTATTAGATTGGTCAGTTACAAACATGTTTCGTTTGAAATACCAACATGCAAAGTTCTGTCAATTTTGTACTGGTCAGTTTTGCTTTTGTGTACTTTGTGTAGTAACAATTATGCAATCAATAAAATATCTTCAAATTGATTTTCGTGTTCATATTATATTTTTGTAACCGTCATTGAAAAACATGTCATAGATTCGTAAAAACGTATGAAATGTCATACATTGAAGTGAGACCGAACTTCAATGAAACCGTTCTCATGCTCAAGCATTAGTTTGTTGCTCAAACTAACTTTCTTACTCGCTTAAACAATGTGACACGCTCAAAATTGTCAAATGAAAGAGAGGTGTCATCAGCAAAAAGTTTTGATATACTTTCTATATTGTCTGTTATGTCATTAATATATAGTATAAACAGCAACGGGCCAAGAACTGAGCCCTAAAGTACTCCTTCATTTGTTATCTGAACAGAAGATCTACTTCTTCCAATAAAAACTTATTGAAATATATTAGTAACATAATTAATGAAACAGTCCAATAACTTTGCCGATATTTCACAGCTAGCCAGTTTCATATCCAGCCCCCTATGCCTCACCCGATCAAACGCCTTCGGAAATATCACAAAAAATTAGACACGTTGGCTGCACATAGTATGATATATTTCTATAAGCTGGAGAATGACCTGGTTGAGAACCTGACTGACACTTACAAATGAGAGAATTATCTAAAATAAAGTTATGTAAATATTTAGCGACTAGTATTTCGAAAAGTTTACCCATAGTACTTTTATGCAATAGGTCTATAATTGGAGGAATATTGTTTATCTCCTTTTTCTGCAGTATGGCAGATATCATGTAGTGCAATGAAGGATTCACCTTACCAGACAGTACTCACATTAAAGTAGTTTCCACAGACCACCTTTCCGGGCTGGACAGTCAGTAAGGGCAGGAGAAACATCGGCATCATGGCTGTGGCAGTGATAGGTAACGCCTCCGTCAACCACAGGATCGCCATGGAAACCATGACGTAAGCACATCTTGACTCCTGAAAAATAATAATGAATTTCGTTTTAGTACATTGTTTCAAATTCTTATTATTATTCCACAGTAATATTTTTATAAATATCTTCAAAACTAGGAAAAATAATAACACTGCAACAAGTTTTATCACAAAGAAATGGTTCTCTTCAAGGGTGTTTTTTCAACTTTGATTTTTTCTTCCTTGTATAATTGAATATACTGCAACACATTTTTTATAACCTAGAGTTGTTACTTCCCTTGTTAATTGAATCATCGATCATTTTGCTGTGATGCGTTTATGTGATAGAAACTAGTTAAGTGTAGGGTTAGCAGTTTGTGTGTGTCGGCCCCGACTTTGATCCCTGTGCTGTGCTACACCGCTAACATGAGATTAGTTCATGGATCGTTGAAAAGAAGCCGCGTCGAATGTAAGTTCATGTGTTTGTTTTCGCACATTCAATTACCTACCCCTAACCTCCGTTCGAAGCACAGGTTGGCCAAACACTTCTGTTGAACCTGAGGTTCAATCGGTTAGAGCTTTAATATATCGATCTGAAGTCCTGAGTTCGAATTCCGGTCAGGCCCCGATGATTTTGTTTTCACATTTGGAACACTGTTGTTGATTACATTGCTTAAATTTCGTTTTCATTTCATCTTAATTATTTCTCATAAAACCCCCGCAAGATAGGATTTTCTTTTCAATGTTATTTATCAAAGCTTTAGTCATGCTTGAAACGAAACACTTCTCCACACTTAGTTACAGTTTTTGACAGTGGTAGGGACCTTTTGGCTCCCTGTACCATTGAACATTGATTATCATAACCTCCCCTTAATTTCGTGATATAACCATAGCACTATTGGACCTGTTTACGTGCGTTGATCATGCCATTCAGTTAGTATAACTATATGACGTCGAGAGCTCTATCCCGCCTGTTACAATCAGAACACTGTTGTTGATATTTTGATTTCATCTTCATTTTATATTCATAAATAGTCCCGGAAGGTACAATTTTCTTTTTAAATTAACTGATCTAAGCTTAAGGCATGTCAGAAACAAATTAATATGTATATTTTCATATTTCGACAGTGACACGAGACTCCTTAAGGTAGTGTTGTTGTAAATATTTCGCAATGCCAGTAACATTTGGTTCGTAATTCTTTACTTAACGTCATTTATGCCTACAGATATCTGAATACTGTTGGCTTGGATTTGAAATATACAATGTGAGTGTCTGTTTAGGAACGCCCAGAAAGTTTGATACGTAGAACGCATTTTTAAAACAATTGATCAACATTTACACATAAAATTGTTTCTCATGTCCATGGTCGTTTTTGTTTTAAATTTTGCGGACAACTACACTAGCGTAGTCTTCTTATTTTCGCCCGGTTTCTTTGACTCTCCAGTATGAGTATCACAGTACGGAATGTGTACATATGTACCAAGTTACTAACTGTAGTAAATATTGAGGGAAACTATTAACCGTGTTGGCATACGTGTAATAAAAACAAAATCAAAAATGGCAGTTATGTTAACCGAATGGACATGTTAATGTGATGTCTATGATCAGATTTTCAAAAGTACCAAGGGTCTTGTCAGTGTAACGACTTTCTTGGGATTTCTTACTTTCTATTTCTGCTAAATATTTTCATGGAACATAGACGTGTCTGCGTGTACCTGCTGAATCACCATTGTGGTTTGAAGGACATTCTTTACTGGTGGGCCGGTAGAAGGTTGTATAAGTCAGTGTTAATCAATGGTGTTGTAGGAAGCGGAAAATGTGACTACTCATCAACTAACATAAATACAATTCTTGTCTTACATGTAGTAGCTGGCGGAAATAATCGCGCTTGTGCCAATTGTTGAAAAGGCCAATGGCACTTTTATACAACTAAAAAAGTTGAAGACTAAAATATATCTAGGTCAATATTTGAATAAAATTCGACTGACTTGCTTATTTAAACTCGGAGTGACTTTTATTCACTGACAATTTTTTATGATAATTTTTTACCATATCATCCATTTGGTATTTTAATTAAATCAGCTAAGCTTATTCATCTCAGTATAACTTTTAGTCATTAAAATTTGTTTTATATTCTTAACTTACCATTTCTTATTCGTATTAAATTTGCCTAGCTTATTCATAAAAATCTTAATTCGTACTCAAAATCAATAAAACTGACACAAAATATGACCAATGGAAATATTACAAAGAGACCTCTGAAAAGTAAAAAGTAAAAAGGTAATAAGTCTAGGTATTCCGGAAGGGTAAGCGTCTTCTGTCCTTAGTAAAATTCAAGTAATGACACGACCCCACATTAAGAACTCGGTTCTTCGTTAGTATTAACAAACACACATGGCAAACAAATGAGCATACTCAAAAACGTTCATATCACACAAAAAGAAATAGTTTATTTCCCTATGATATTTTGATGTCGACCAACAAACCTGAGTACACAAAATTTACGAAAATACGAAAAAGTGGCTTCGAATAAGATGTTATTGATGTTCCCATCTTTACATGTGGGCATTTTCACAAAATTATCGAGCTTTTTTCCGTTTAATACCATAATTAAAAACATAATGAGAAAACATTCGTAAAGCGCGTCAGACTCCGTCGAACTCAAGCAAACATTGTGACGCCAGTCATTGAATACGATCATGAGTACTATAGAGGAGGACGGGGGCAACATTAGTCCATATGTGTAGGTACATTCTGTTTTAAAATAAACTAGTGAAACTATTCCCAGGCATATCAAATAATTATAGAGGTCATTATTGCCAATTGCTAATGTCAGATCTATTATCTAACCAATCGCCAAAGGTAAAGCTTAGTCGCACATCCACAAGCAAAGTGATAAACCAGTGCAGTGTATGTGTACACGTAAACACGTGAACACGACACCGACAAATGGGCCTTGTATTGTTAGTTCTTGCTGTGTAAGACACAATAATATTTGGGTTATTCATATGTAAGAAGGTATCTACAATGTACTTGATTATGTTAGCAATAAATACGTGTCAGGTTTTGCCATGTTGTTACCGTTCTGACAATTAGTATCTTCCTGATAGACAAAACAAAACACGCTAATATACAGCATACATGATATACAGCTTTAATAATATACAGCATTTAATATAGCGCCCTTTCTAACTAACATAAGCCACTCTAAAGCAATTTACAGTACATAGATATACAATTAATACAATTAGCATATACATTATTCAATACAATTTTGACCAATTCGCAGGAGCTGCCTTACCAGGCGCTAACTATTAGTCCTATGCCACCTGGCTAATATCTCCCTATGTATGAATGCCTGCGTGTGTGCTGGGGATTTATTATTTAACGCTACTAGACCATCAGAAAAACTAACGGCGTAGCAACATTACAGATTTATTTTTACTATAAAATTGAATTTGCAGAAATTAGGTTTTTGTTTGTTTCAGTTTTACTGGTTTGAATGTTCACATCTTTTGCAAATGGTATTTTGTCTCAGTTAGCGAATTAATAAAGTGTTACTTTAAAAGCATCTATTGACCAAATAATAATCGTACTAGTTTACATAAGTTTGCGATATATTGGCGTAATCGTACAAATAATATATAATTTTAATTTATTTTTTGAAATAAAAGGAAATGTTTTATCAAGTTATATTTTGTTGGAGAGACCCATTCGTGTAAATCAATCCAGGTCCCTGTTTGTTTATATACTCGTGTTAAAAATGAACCAATGTTTACAAACATCGCTTGCTTTATCATTTAGAAAGATTTTAATATTTGCGATTCATAGCTTTTCTTCTGTTTGTTATTTACCACAATTTGTAAAATGATATGAGTAATTCTTCAGGTCCAATACAATATTTAACCCGACAAAGGTGTATAAATGACAGATATTTGCGATTCATAGCTTTTCTTCTGTTTGTTATTTACCACAATTCGTAAAATGATATGAGTAATTCTTCAGGTCCAATACAATACTTAACCCGACAAAATTGTATAAATGACAGTTTAAGTAAGATTGTATCAAATTGCAAGCTGCCTGGCGACATATTAAAATGATATTTATTTACGAAATAAATTGTATAAAAGGTGTTTTACTCATTGTTAAAGGAGTTCTTGTTGACAGTTCTCGTTTGAAATACCAATCGCGCTTCCCATGTGACAAAAAAATAACACAATAGGATTTTTTTCATGCCAATGCAATAAATGTGATATATAATTGTCAAAGATATAATATCAACGGAAAATCGAATATAATAGGAGATCCTTACAATATTGACTGGATTTGAATTACTTAAAATGGTACATAAGGCAAGGCCATAGTTCCAAAAGTGAAGACAATATAATTTAATGCTGTCAAATTTTCAGAGTTTCGACAATTTGACAACCTGATATTGTCTACACTGTTGGAGATACTTCCTTGCCCCTGTAGAAAAACGCGTTCTGTGCACATAAAAACAAAATCAACGAAAGTAAAATATATGATGTTATTGTGAAGTTTAGATACATGAGCTATGTAGTGTAACTTACCAGAGACCCATTGAAGAGGAATCCTATAGGCGCCAGGAAAGCAATGAAAATAAAGACAATACTACGGATGGCCCATACACTTTTTAGAAAAGTAACAACTGAGCCAGCCATGTTGAATGTTGTCGCTGACTCGACGACGCACATATGTTTACACTAACACACGTGTTCACCTGAACTTGACCTCAATATGCCTAACACCAGTGCTGGCTCCTTTGTTTACGATCAGGGGTCACAAGCAAGGTTATGATATCTCACATACCATCTCCCACTATTCGAGGTCACATCAAGAGATCTATTTAAAACTTTTTGTTTTACCAGCGCATGTGTGTGAAGTTGTAATCGAGACGTTTCTAGCTGCCTGCAGTGCAGAAATTTAGGTCAGTGTGACGATGTTGATGAATCCACTCCCAGAACATTGTTGCTCACTGCAGACGCTTAAACATGTGAACAGTAAAATATTAATTTAGTTAAAGCACGTTCATTGCAAAAATATGACGTTGAACAGATTTGTTCCAACCCATCAACGTCTTTTAATACAGATTTACAGCTAAATAACAATTCTTAAAACTTACTATGAAGCTGTAAGAACTTAATCAATATAGTCGTTGTGCTTAATCCCTTTGATATGATAAACGCAACATGTTTTAATGAATACCGATATTATAATAAACAATTTCAGCATATTGCTGGATTTAATTGCCTAAAACATTTGTTGCACTGAAAGATATTTAAATTAATACCATTTATAGAAAACATTTTGATGATTCTATACAGTTCAAAATAACTATAGCCAACTTGTTTTGGAAACCTTGTCAAAACGGCAATGGAAATATGATATTGAGTGTCAGAGTGTTTATTAAAATCTTCAATCACGTTTGCCAAATACGTTATGCAAAATTTTGAAAAATACATTAAAAGCATCTGTAAAGCGAGGACAAACATTAGTGATTGTTCCTTCAAAGACTTATTTGTGATAATTAAGAAAATACATTTTTGAGAAAAAACCCAGAAAAGTGATTATTTTAACAAAAAGAAATAAGTGTAAACGAAACATTTATAAAAAAGAATTGGGTTTTTCTGTAAAGTCGATGTTATGATGACAAATATTTAATGACGTATGTCATTGTGATAAATACATTCACATTGTAAATGATAAAAGTGCAAATGTTGATAAGTGAACTTATTCCACTTATAAGTCAAGTCAATATTGTTTATTTGAGTATCATATCACAATTACATTAATACATATTAAACATTATATACAGATACATTATGTAAAAGTATAAAGTAACATAGCAGGGATCAATCATCTCATATAAACTATTGTTACAACTGTTATGATATGTCATAAGTCATGTTGAAGTGGTAATGTGCGATGATGTTTGACCCTTGTGCAGTTGAAGAACTCTCGTTAGTGCCTCAAATGTTACTCCACCCTTTCCTGACGATAACATTAAACCTTTAAAATTGTTCATATCAATTTTCTTATAACTGAAACCGGTACACACATTTAAATCTACACTACGTTAATTTTGTTGTTGAATTAAGAGGAAGAGTTTTTTTCGACGGACTCGGTATTACAAAATGGACTAATTACGCATTGTAAGCCTATTAAACATGTACGATTCATATGGGATGAAGAAGGAAAAAGGGAGAAACTCATTTTTTCCTATCATTTTATTCCACGTTCATATGTACAGGATATATTGTATTGCGCATGGTGTCTTCAAAGAGCAGGACATTCTATGCCGGGTTTAACACACCATACAAACTCCTTTTCATTCCCGTTATACCTCGCTAACGAAGACTACGGACACGTTTATGGTCGCCATCGGGATCTTGCAGGGAAACATGTTATTTCTTTGTGTGATATGACGGTAATGTTTTTCTTGTGCTCATTAAAGTACCCTGTGGTTTTGTTGTCACTGCCCGAGTTCTCCATTTGAGGACATGACATTTTTCCGATTCGACTAAGGTTTATATGACGGGTGTCATCGCAGCAAACTTTTACGGCACGATTTCTCACCCCGACACGATATCTGCACGCGCTTGCATTCCTGGTTTGTAGCAGAAATCAGGTGAGACAGCCGTCGTCTAATTGAATCTGCGAAGATTTCTTTTACTTCTGCTGCGTATTTCAAAAGTGAATGAATAGATATATTGACATATAAATAAATAAGTAAATATAAGACAAGCTGTACATTGAACTACTCGTTATTTGATAACATATTAGCTCATCTATTACATGAACACTCTCAAAGTAACTCGCATTATTCCCAGAATGAGAGATGACGTCAGAAAAAAGGGGATTAAAATAAATGAGCGTTTTTATTTTGCGAATATGTTGTTTTCTAACAGTGTCATTACATAAAAAGATGTAAAATAAAAGGTGATATTGTCTTCTTTTAAATTCGGGTTTCAAAGCTTGATAATAACTTATATTCCAAGTTCGACGTGGATGAGTAGACATTCCACACTTACTTGCAGTACGTAATCTTCTGATCATTATCAGAGTTAAGCGTTTATATGTTGTCTGGTTACACATCTATTGATGGAGACATAGTTGATAATACTTCAATTTATTAAAATTGGTTGTTGGGTCTTGGAACAATTATTTTTTAATGTGCTGCGTATAACAAGTCACTCTTCATTCTTAACTGTTTTTATTTGATTCATATGCCTATTTCAATGAAAGTAGAGAAGTTAAGGTTCTTAATAGAAAAATTAAATAAAAGTGTCGCCTTCTTAGTTACCATAAGACTTCGCTTTGGCGAAAGACTGTGTGGAACAGTTCTGCATTAAATTGGTGTACATCCGGATAACTCGTTTGACGTTTAGTTTGTACGTGCAGGGGGAATTCAACAAAACAAGGAAACTCTCAGGGGAAATATTGCTGTCTTTGTATCTTACTGAATCAGGTTTGTATTTTAAAAGTGTAACCAAACTCGTGTGCAATGTAAACTCACGCATACTCTTATATCAATAAATACAATAACAAACGTGAACTCTCACACGCGCGAAAATAAATAAAAGCATAATATTTAAGAGCCATTTTTTGACTTCGTCTCCGTTTTGTTTTTCTCGTTTTTTGTTTGTTTTATTTCTAAATTTCTTATTCATTTCAGAATGAACCCATCATTAAACAGAACAAAGAGGAAGACACTGTCAGAAATATAACTTGTATGTCCCATCCGGTAAATAAACCTCGATTAGAAGCTCAAATTATGATGTTGCAAACTAAACAATTTTGAATGACTCAAAGTGCTACAATTCCTATTTTTTCCCAAGCTTGTACCTCTTGTATTATCTTTGGTATGGGGAAAACAATATTTCTGAGATTGCGGCACGGTAACTTTAAGTGAATAAATGACAAAGTAGGATTGGCTATTGCACTCGCCTTCACCCTGTCGGCCGGGGTTCAACTCCCTGATCGGACATGGCAAGGTATTGGGTCATCTACCCGACTACGTGTGTTTTCTCCGAATGCTCAAATTTTATTCCATGGGAAGATTCCCTGTGCGCTCCCATCGGAGTCATCAAGTGTAATTTTAAAAAGTAGAGTCTACAGTCAGGTCAGTGATCAAGGCTCACCGCACCTAATGTTAATGTTCTAATTATATATAATGTCACGGTGTGGTGATACAAGATACAAGATACAATAATTTTTATTTAAAGTCGTTTATGTTATAATGGAAACATTAGCTCTGTAGCGCTATTATTACGACAAACAAAGGTATAAAAACAGGATATATAAGACAACATGCAGAAAACAAACAGGCATATAGCAAGGTTTATACACACACAGACAAGTACAAATTAAATCGCAACATGCAGTAATTAAAAACAACTTGGCACGTAAGGAACAAAGTATATATAAAAATCTATATTCAAATTGATGCTGCACAAAAGATTCATGCCACATGCTCACATACTTAAATGCAAATATGGCATGAGTTAAAAATTGACCGAATATATGCTAATAAAGCATAAATTAAAAAGATGATTTGACAAGCATTGCGTAAGTCATACAATGCGTAAATAAGAGCACTAAGCAAAAAATGAAAGAAAGTAAAAGCGTAGAAGCATGTGTATCACAAGACATGGTAAAAACTAAGTATAGAAATAATAAAAAATGTTGGAACAAACTGGCCGTCCCAAGTGTGTAGCAGTCTGCGAAAGCTCTGGAAATTTTCTACTTTCTTCAGTTCATTCGGCAAACTGTTCCACACTTGGGCAGCCTCAAAACGAAAAGGTTTTTTCCATACATTTGGAACCTTAATGGTGTTCTCTTACCTGAAATTATATTCAACATTATTTTTAACAACCCAATCATTTAAAAGTTTTCGAGCTAACCCATTTAAAATTTAAAAGACTTCTGTAGCCATAGTCTTCATTCTAACAACGTGTAAAATGTGAGGTTGTTTCTGCGTAAAATCTGTATCACATGTGAGGTAAAATCGTTTTCAATAAAACGCAGAGCTCTTTCCTGTATCTTTTCCATCTTTCGAGTGTTGTTGAGGCTATAAAAATGCCAGGCTAGGGGGCAGTAATTAAAATTAGATGAAATAAAAGATTTGAAAATGGTGATCTTTCCCTTTTTTGGTAAGACTATTTCCAATTCTTTTCAAAATAGCTAATTGTTTGGAAGCCTTTCTACAGATCTTAAATACATGGCCATCAAATTTAAATAAAGAGTCCATCTCCAAACCTAGCAGAGTAACAATATTTTTACAATCAATTACCTGGTCTCCAATAGAATAGGATTTAATGTTGTGACAGGTTTTTTTCCCTATACATATGGCTTGAAATTTACTAGGATTTGCTTTCATACCATTTGCTGAAAACCAGTTTAGTAAAAAATTACTTTCTTTTTCTAGAGTAAGTTTAAGGTTTGAAGAACAGTTGCTGATAGGGCTTAGGGCCTCGGATCCTGCTTTTAGAATTTTAGCAGAAATTCTGTCCACCCCAGTAGATTTCTTGCAGTCTAGACGTGATATACAATGTATAAGTTTCGTTACCTGTGCGTTACTGACATTGCTAAATTTAAAGGACCCCTGATCTGCCACAGGTTTCATGTTGTTTTGAATATGTACAATGCTTGGGTGATCAAAAAAATTACATTCACCATTAAGCTCTTTCCCAATATCATTTGCTATATCAGTAAAATATTCATTAAAACTATCACATACAATCTTCTGATCAGAGATTACAACATTTTCCTCAAGTACAATGCTTTGATCATTTCTACATTTGTTTGATAAAAAAGACTTTACTGTGGGCCAAAAGTCTTTAGAGCTAGGGCCGGTGCTA